CCGAGGGGTTCATGCCACCTTGACGAATCCAGCATGAATCACACACTTGCTCAGAAACATCTTATCGAATTTCTGATGTGGAATGCATCGTGCGTGCAAAAACACTTCAGTTAAACCTGACAGGATAAATAGGATGACCCGAGGTGAGAGATTTTGTGAAGTACTCTTTCTTCGTCCTTGCTAGATGAAGCAAACCGTTCTGATGCAGCTCGATCTTCCTCTATTGACATTGGAAATTCAGATTGCGAAAACCGTACAGAAATGGAAAAATTGAGAATCAAATCGACATGCCGGTTCTGGGCTTGGCCGGTAGCCATCGACGAGAAATGAAAACTGGTGCAGGTACGCAGAGCTGATCAGGCTCTGTATCACCACGAACTGACAGTGTCTTCGTTGGGCAGTGACTGTCAGTCGTGCACTGCCCCCCTGCTTGAAAAGACAAATGAAAGCACATGAAACTCAAAAAATCACTCAACCAAGTTTGCCATTCCGGAAGAGACATGGGAAATCTAATGAAGCTCAAAAAAGCAAACAGCCAGGTTTCGGAAATTACCAGATAGAAGTTTTACATCTTTTCAGATGTTCCACACACACACATGAACGCTACAAACCATAACCCTTATGGCATCGCCGGTGTGCGAAGCTCTACGATAGATATAGATATAGAATGATATAGATAGGTAGGTAGGTAGATAGGTGGATAGATGGATAGATAGAAGCTAGGTAGATAGAAGCTAGATAGATAGAAGCTAGATAGATAGGTCGATAGGTGGATACATAGATTGCTAGATAAACAGCTAGATGGATGGATGGATGAGATAGATGAGATAGATAGATAGATTAGATTAGATTAGATTAGATTAGATTAGATTAGATTAGATTAGATTAGATTAGATTAGATAGGTAGATAGATAGATAGATAGGTAGATAGCTAGCTAGCTAGCTAGGATTAGATAGATAGATAGATAGATAGATAGATAGGTAGATAGGTAGATAGGTAGATAGGTAGATAGGTAGATAGGTAGATAAGTAGATAGGTAGATAGGTAGATAGGTAGATAGATAGGGATAGGGATAGGGATAGGAATAGGAATAGGAATAGGAATAGGAATAGGAATTGGAATTGGAATTGGAACAGGAATAGGAATAGGAATAGATAGGATTAGATAGGATTAGATAGGATTGGATAGGATTGGATAGGATTGGATAGGATTAGATAGGATTACATAGATAGGAGAGATAGAGAGATAGATAGAGAGAGAGAGAGAGAGATCGATCGATCGATCGATCGATGGATGGATGGGTAGATAGATAGATAGATAGATAGATAGGTAGATAGATAGATAGATAGGTGGATAGATAGATACACAGAGCTAGATTCTAGGACAAGTCCGGATTCGTGAGCCAAGTAGCTGAGGTCCTCCAGCCCTAGAAGCATCAGCTGTGACCCAACCGCTTGGCTGGATTGGCATCCGAATGCACCTGGGCTGTAGCTTATCCTGCATTCTCATGGATTTCAATCGAATCAATTGGGACAAATGAGGTTTCAAACGTATTAAAAGTTCCAAACTTTGAGATTAAGCTTGACTGGCCTTACCTTTTCTTTTCCGGTAATCGATGTTTATCGCAACTATAGCAGGAAGTATCGCTTGAGAAGCTGAGATGACAACTGTGGCTTCTGGTCTTGACTCGTTTATGTCAGTACCACCTCTCACCATCTGAATATCTGGAATTCTGGAGGATGGTCCTCTCAGACTCTTGAACAGAGTGCCGCACCCGTGGCCTTTGCCAGAAATCAGCATGCGTGGTTTGCCCTGCAGCGAGAGAGGCACGCGCCAAGCCAAAGCCATTGGATCCCCTTGAGAAATTTCATGCAAAACTGGCCTTTTGCTGGAAAAGATCGCCTGCCACCTAAGGATTGAGCTGTGATTGTGAGCGACAAATCAGTGACACGAGTGACACGGGCCCCCTGGGGTCTCATTGCTACTTGAACAAGTGGCTTGGCCACAACCAGCAAGGTTGGCTTGCAAGCACCCGGGAAATGATAGAAATGACATAGGCATGTCAAGCATGTTATGTCATGTGGAACACATGAGTTCTGGGAAAAGGTAAGAAAGTATCGCGACAAGCTTTTTCAACGATCTCATGGATGCAGACAAGCGCTTCAATGTGAAAATGTAAGAGCAACAATGGAAAAGCTTTCAAAGACCCAAACATACCCGAAACTTCGCCGTAACTTCGCGCTTTCCAGAAACCTTCAGATCAAATCCCGCAAGCTGGGTATCTAACACACCGGCCAATCTCCACACTGGAAAGACTGACGCCACTGCGCACAATCAGGTCCTGCAGGAAGGGATCGGAGCACCATCCAAACTCGTGCCAACTCATCGCAAAGCAAAAGGATACAGGTATAGTCTGCTATAGTTGGTTCGGGCAGCATAATCAAGTGACGTTAACGGGTGTTAACTGCAAAAGTGTTGCAGCAATTGTGCCTCTCGCAAGTTGCTACGGACTCGCCACCAGCTGCCTGGAAAGTTGTTCTGTTGGATTTTGGCAAATTCGGAACATTTCATCAAAAATTTCTTGTTCCTTCAAGTCACCAAACATTGGATTCTGATGGATTCTGTCTGTTTTGGTCCCTTCGGATCCCTTCGGATCTTTTTGGATCTCGGATCATTTCGCCCGCCTCGGCGACTTTTGCCCCAGGAGACCACGTCGCTGCGCCTTGGCACGGGCGTGCGGCAGCGCAACAGCAGTGACGGTTTCAAATTCAAGGCTAAGGATGGCATAATTGGGAGACATTTGGAAGACCACATCTGGCAATACAACTGGGAGTTGTGGGGTACAAGTGGACGACATTCCGGAGACAATCGGGACACCACATCTGAAAGACAAACGCGGGACGGTTGGGTGACAAGTGGGAGACAACATCTGAAAGACAACTGGGAAACACGTGGAAGACACTCCGAGACAATTGGAGGACCAATTCTGGGAGACAGCTGGGAACTGTGGAGGACAGTTCCGGGAGACAATTTGGATACCAGACAATTAAGGGACCATATCTGGGAGACATCTGGGAGACGGAAACAACAAGCGGAGAAACCTTGGAGGCAACTGGGAGACAACATCTGGGAAATCGCATCTGGGTGACATCTGGGAGGCACTTGTGACAGGGAGACCACATCTGTACAACAACTGGGCGACAAGTGGAAGACAATTGGGAGACAGCTGGGAGACAAGTGGAAGACAAGTGGAAGGCCACATTTTGGAGACAACTGAGAGTTGTGGAAGACAACCTGGAAAACCACTGGGAGACAATTGGGAGACCCAGACTGCTGGGAGAAAACATTTGGGAAACCATATGCCGAAGACAAGTGAAGACATCTCAGGTTCCAGGGACCCTCCCCATGTGCGGGGAAGGGGGGGAAGTCGGCGGGATACCGCTCCCTGCTCCTGGAGATTGGAAAAGAAATTGGAACAAGGTGGAAAAGACAAAGTGGGCGACACAGTGGGGGACAAGTGGGAGTGCAGTGAGACAGAGACACAGTGGAAGAGACAATGGGGGCAAGATGGGAGACACGGTGGGAGGCTGGGAGACAAAGTGGGAGACAAGGTGGGAGACACAGTGGGAGACACAGTGGACAAACAAGGTGGAAGACAAACCAAAGTGGGAAACAAGGGGGGAAGACTCGGAAGACAAAAAGCGGGAGACAAGGGGGAAACAAAGTGGGAGACGAGGTGGAAGACACGGCACAGAACAAGTGGGAGACAAGTGGCAAACAAGGTGGAAGACAAAGTGGGAGACATAGCGGTTTCACGCATTGGGAGACAAGGGGGAGGCACGGTGAGATCCAATGCGGGAGACAAGCGCGGAAGACACAGTGGGAAACAAGTGGGAGAGAAGGTGGAAGACAGCGGGTGACGCAGTGAGAGACAAGGTGCAAGACAAAGTGGGAGACACAGCAAGAGACAAGTGGGAGACTTTGCTTCCCCCCTTCTCTCTGTCTTCCAGCTTGTCTCCTACCTTGTCTCCCAGTGTCTCCCGCTGCACCCTTCTCTCCCACTTTGTCTCCGACTTGTCTCCCGCTTGTCTCCCCCACTAGAAGGTGGAAGACAAAGTGGGTGACGCAGCAGGAGACACAGTGGGAGACCTACACACTGGGAGACACCCAAGGTCCCCGAGCCTGCGCATATATGGGGGGAGGGAGAAGTCGCGATACCACCCCCCCTGCTACTAGAGATTGAAACCCAACAGCTTCCTGCTGCTGGGAATGATCAACGATGATCAGCTTTTGGGGCACCTTTTGTAGACAAACATATGTGGTAAAACTAACAGAAATGCCTGGTCTAAAGCCTAAAGCATCTACAAGCAGAGGTTGATGGCATTGCTTTACTACATTGACCATGCAGTACACCGGGTAACCACTTGGGATGTCACTCACAAGGTTCACCCTCGGAGATGTAGCTGCAAGCATCATCTTCATCCTGAGTCAACCGACGATGTGCTAGGCAGATTTTCTCTCCATCTACAGGACCTGCCTCATCATCAAGGTCTTTCGTGGATGGTTCTTTGCCTTGGAACTGGCATTTCAGCGAGACCCACAGATGACAGATTGTGGGTGGCTTGGGGCTGCGTTCAGAACGGGAATCCCGGCGCGGTGGCTTGAAAATTTGCGATTCGCAATGCTTGGAATCCACTGCCTGAAGACAAGAGCTATCCCGGCAAACAAGGCGGAACTGAACAAGCCCTTTCCCCTCATCATGTTGCTTTAAGATGCAGAAAACCTCGTCGCTACACAAACAGTGCTGCCAGAGGCATCGGCATGGGTGATCCACTTCTTTTGGCTCTAAGGGTGCGTTGCCGCGTCACGACCGGGTGAGACGACTCAAAAATCTCAGCATCGAATCCATCTGCTTCTCGCTTAGGATGTTAAACCAAAGTGCTGAACGTACCCCGTGCTGCAAGTTGACTGTCAGCATCTCGGGGCCAAATGGCCCCCACAATTTCCATCAGCGTCAAGTCGCGTCAAGTCGCCTACTTTGATGTCGGTGCAGCTACACCACTTTGTCAGGACCTTCCCAAGATCAACATGCCCAACAAGACAGGGTTTGTCCAAAAATAGGCTGCCCCACTCCGTCCCCGTTGTGTAAACCATTTAATTTTGAGGTATCCCCCGTTTCTTGCCAAACAAGAATCAAAGGGATCCACGGCAACACCTGTTCCGCCTTCATCGCAACTCCTGGATGAACAGCACCAAAATCTCCGGAACAGAGTCCTGGTCCCCGCATGGCAAGGCCTGCAAGAGCATGCCAAAATCAATCAACACCAAACCACATAAAATCATAGCCGCCATAGTCCTCATCATACCCAGGAACCAACCTTGGGCGATCATAGCTCACAAAAAGACACGTTTAAAGCAATCAATCGCCGAAACCATCAGCCTACCCAAAGAATCCCAGCAAGGCTCACCTCTGAGCGTCGGTCCTTCTCGCTTCTCAACAGGCTCTGCCTGCAGCTTAAGTTGGAGAATGATCCCCGCTGATGATCTGCAAACCAGTCCGGAAGAAAACGGAAAGCGAGTCAGCAAGGGGGCACAGCGTAACACAGGGTTCATTTTTGGAGTTTGCGGGCGCAAAAGTTGGGTGAGACGGCGTAGGCCCAAAATACACCCCAAATGAATCTCAATAACGTTACTCTCCCGTTGGGGTTGAAAAAATGCTTCTACATTGCTCCGAAGGCAATTTTTTCACGGTATTTACAGTGTTTTTTGCACATCACACATCCCAAAGGCTGCATGCAACATAGCACCAAAAATTCAAAAATTGAGCTCCCATGCAGGAAAAAGGTCTTAGACAAACCCAACATAGCCCTCCAAGACCTCAAAATAAAAAAGCCCCCGTATCGCGTCAACGCACATCTTCCTTTAGGTCTTTATGTTGATGCCAAAAAGAACGTTCTAGTTCTAGCACACTTGGCTCGAAATAGCCGCATATGGCCTTATAGCCCTCCAAGATCTCAACATAGCCCTCCAAGTGGCCCAATACGCCTATAGGCCCAACATAGCCTTGAAATGACCCAATATGGCCACTTGGGCCAAGATAAGGCCAACATATAGCTCTCCAACTGACCCAATATGTTGTAGGGCCGAACATAGGCCCGAAGTGGCCCAATATAAGCCCAACAAAATCGTAAATTGCCAAACAAGACCCCCAACTTGACCCTGAAATGACGCAAAATACACCCCACATGAATCTTAATAACGTTACTCTCCCGTTGGGGTTGAAAAAATGCTTCTACATTGCTCCGAAGGCAATTTTTTCACGATATTTACAGTGTTTTTTGCACATCACACATCCCAAAGGCTGCATGCAACATAGCACCAAAAATTCAAAAATTGAGCTCCCATCCAGGAAAAATGCGTTTTTTTACGCGAACGCATCCCCGCAAACATGCGCAAGAAGCAATCTCTCTTGGTGGGGTTGAAAAAATGCTTCTACATCGCTCCGAAGGTTTCACGGTAGTTACAGTGTTTTTTGCACATCACACATCCCAAAGGCTGCAGGCAACATAGCACCAAAAATTCAAAAATTGGGCTCCCATGCAGGAAAAATGGCCTTAGACAAACCCAACATAGCCCTCCAAGACCTCAAAATCAAAAAGCCCCCGCACCGCGTCAACGCACATCTTCCTTTAGGTCTTTATGTTGATGCCAAAAAGAACGTTCTAGTTCTAGCACACTTGGCTCGAAATAGCCGCATATGGCCTTATAGCCCTCCAAGATCTCAACATAGCCCTCCAAGTTGCCCAATACGCCTGCACATGACCCCAGATAGGCCCAACATAGCCTTGAAATGACCCAATATGGCCACTTGGGCCAAGATAAGCCCAACATATAGCCCTCCAACTGACCCAATATGTTGTAGGGCCGAACATAGGCCCGAAGTGGCCCAATATAAGCCCAACAAAATCGTAAATTGCCAAACAAAACCCCCAACTTGACCCTGACATGACGCAGGATAAGCCCAAAACACACCCCAAATGAATCTTAATAACGTTACTCTCCCGTTGGGGTTGAAAAAATGCTTCTACATTGCTCCGAAGGCAATTGTTTCACGGTATTTACAATGTTTTTTGCACATCACACATCCCAAAGGCTGCATGCAACATAGCACCAAAAATTCAAAAATTGAGCTCCCATGCAGGAAAAACGAATTTTTTTTACGCACATGACCCCAGATAGGCCCAACATAGCCTTGAAATGACCCAATATGGCCACTTGGGCCAAGATAAGCCCAACATATAGCCCTCCAACTGACCCAATATGTTGTAGGGCCGAACATAGGCCCGAAGTGGCCCAATATAAGCCCAACAAAATCGTAAATTGCCAAACAAAACCCCCAACTTGACCCTGACATGACGCAGGATAGGCCCAAAATACACCCCAAATGAATCTTAATAACGTTACTCTCTCGTTGGGGTTGAAAAAATGCTTCTACATTGCTCCGAAGGCAATTTTTTCACGATATTTACAGTGTTTTTTGCACATCACACATCCCAAAGGCTGCATGCAACATAGCACCAAAAATTCAAAAATTGAGCTCCCATGCAGGAAAAACGCGTTTTTTTTACGCGAACGCATGTAATTTACAGTGTTTTTTTGCACATTTCCAACACCGATTTTGACCGCCAAAAGTCTGCAAATCACCGTGCCCCCCTCCACCCCCCCCATGGCTACCGCAGAAAAAAACGTCTCAGCGTTTCCAACGCTTTCTGTCATCGTCATAATTCATAATCATAGTTACACAAGGGTTCCTCGGAGTTACTGAGAGCTACACGAGGCTTACACAAGAATTATACAAGAATCATAAGAGTAACTTAGTTTCTGACGGTTATTTAGAGGTGCAAAGTTGTATCAAAGTTACATCAATCAAAGCCCCCAAGAAATTATATCAAATTGGGTTTTGGCCTCTGGCAGGGACCAACCGCTCCGCAGCAAGTCGCCGGGCCCACAGCCCACTTCCACCTGGTGACTGATTTTTGTCGATTTCAAAGAACTGGGTATACGGTATACCACAACCGATGATACTCAAATTTCGGCATTGCGGGCATGTCTATGGACAGCTCTTCAGCTCACCAATTCAGCCACGCAGATAGCATAACTAGCATAACTAGTGAAGGAATTGACACGTAAGGGAATGCAACAGTAGACCACCGTCACATGGGTCTGCGGGTGACATAAAGAAGTGCGCGAAACACTGTGTGTTTGCAGGTTGCCAAGAGGAGGTCTCCGTTTCTACGCAAGTGGGGCTTGAAGTATGGAAAGCCGTCGGAAAAAAAACACGAGACTGTAGCGAGCAGCGAGAGCTCGCTGCTTTGGATTAAAATTGCGCAGAGCACCATAGTCCAGGCTGGAAAATCTGCGAAACCGAAGAGAGAACTCAACTGAAACTCTCATACTAGCACGAGCAATCTGCAGCGTGCTGTGGCGCGCATGGTTGCTGATTTCCGAAGCTCTCCTGCTAGCAACCGGTGTTTGGAAGACGCATAATGAAACGCAGTGAAACTGCTGTGCCATGAATGAATTTGATCTGCGATGCCACTCTCGCGCTATTTGGGAATGCAACTGATGGTTGCTAAGCGCATTGGAACAGGTGCACGGATGAGAGTTTTAGATATGATGCGACTCTTGCGCTATGCGGGGATGCACCTGGAGGTTGCTAAACGCATTGTCACAGCTGCGTGAAAAGGGAAAGTGGCTCACAGAAGCTGTAGCTGAGTGAAGAGTTGGTTGAGAGTGGCTCAGAGCAGCGGTAGCTCAGGAAGGACTGAGAAGAGGTGGGTCAGGGAAGCATTGGCTCAGAGAAGGGGTTATTCACACAAGAGATAACTCGGAGAGGTTGCTCAGAGAAGTGGGTGAGAGAAGATGAGGCTCAGCGAAGCAACAGCACGCACGAGACACACGAGAAGGGGCTCAGTGTAAGAGCTTCCTTTGTTCATCCGCGGTGCACGCATTCGCTTTTTATGTTAGTTCATTTGATTTTATTCGTGTGCTCGTTCGTTCATTCATCCATTCATACATTTTTAATTTGTTTTGTTGAATCCTTTTCCCACAGCCCTAAAGCTCAACTGCGCTGCTCCTTTTCATCCAGTACTTGAGCCAAAACCTGCGCAGGGGGGAACGAAAGCCAGCTCTAATAATGAAAACCCCTACACACAGCACATTGCCTGCGTGTAAGACCTTCAACATTGAAATCCTCCAGTTGCAGCGTAGCCCAAACTGCACAGAAAATTTTGAGGCAGACATACCTGTTGCAGCAAATTTCCTTCGCATAACACTTTCAAAATTGGAATTCTTCTGTTGGAGCAACCCCGTAAGCACCACGACTGAGAGCATCAAACTTCTTGCGCAGAATGCCTTCAAAATTGGAGTTCTCCAGTTGCAGCAAACCCGCAAGCATCACGACTGCACGTAGCACCTTCAAAATTGGAGTTCTCCAGCGGTCGCCTTCTTAAAACTTTATTGGTCAGCTACGTATCTCTAGTCTCTTAAGCAAAATATTTCGCTCTATCGATTTCTCTGACTGGCTACTTAACTCACCCACGAGAACCCAGACCGAGGGGAATCGATACCCTACTGCGGCCGATTTCCAGCGCGTAACACCTTCAAATTTTGAGTTCTTAACCGTCACGTCATCTGTTTCTGAGATACACGTTGATACAACGGGGTCATCTGGGATCGTGGAAAATTTGCCGTGGCAGGTATTTTTGCGAAGTACAGAACGCTATCATCGTGCTGCGCACCAATGGATATGGAAGCAAATACCAGAAACCAAATCTAGGGTCTGCATGTTTAGATCAGGGTCATGTTAAGCTGTGTTAGGCCTATGGGGGACATATGTTAGGCTTATATTGGTCCATGTTGTGTCTTTAGACAACATGTTGGAGCCATATTCGAGCCATCTTGAGTTTATATCAAGCCAAGAACGGCATGGTTCTTTTAAGCCTTTACCCAGCCCAAGAGGAACACGTCGTTTTTGGATCATGTCGGGGCCATGCTGGGCGTATATGGAGCCTGTGTTGGGCCTATGTTGACCCATGTTAGGCCCTGTTAGGCTCTTGGAGGCTTTGGTGGGGCTATATTCGAACCTTGTTGAGCTTATGTGAAGCCAAGAACAGCGTGTTCCTTTTAAGCCTTTACCCGGCCCCAAAGGAACACGCCGTTTTTTGGATCATGCGTGGACCATGTTGGGCGTGTTTGGAGCCTATGTTGGGCCTATGTCTTGGAGGCTATGCTGGGGCCATATTCGAGCCATGTTGAATTTATCGAAGGAAGTTTAGAAGTCAAACTTCCGACAATATGGAGAGATGAAAAAGCAGTCAGCCAGAAGAGAAAAGATCAGAATAGAAAAGATGAAAAAAGAAAGAAGAGTGCAGGGGCGCGAAAAGGTAGGAAAGTCGCGAAACACTGTGTTTTTTCGTGGTTTTGTGGCTCCGGAGGGTTGAAAAGTAGGCTCGCTAAAGCGGCGGGTGCGGAGACATCTGGGGAGATGAGAGATGAAAAGTTGCACGCCGTTGTGGCGCGAAGCCAATTTCGAAGTGAAAAGGTACAAAACACCTCAGGATCGGACCACTTTTGGAAGTTGAGATGTTGAAAAAGTGCACGGCGTTGTGGCGCGAAGCACATTTGGAAGTAAAATGTGTTAAAAACTGAGGGGTTCGGAGCAGTTTTGGAAGTTGAGATGACGAAAAAGTGCACGGCGTTGTGGCGCGAAGCACATTTGGAAGTAAAAAGTGTTAAAAACTGAGGGGTTCGGAGCACTTTTGGAAGTTGAGATGTTGTTGGAAGTAAAAAGTGTTAAAAACTGAGGGGTTCGGGGCACTTTTGGAAGTTGAGATGACGAAAAAGTGCACGGCGTTGTGGCGCGAAGCACATTTGGAAGTAAAATGTGTTAAAAACTGAGGGGTTCGAAACACTTTTGGAAGTTGAGATGTTGAAAAAGTGCACGGCGTTTTGGCGCGAAGCACATTTGGAAGTAAAATGTGTTAAAAACTGAGGGGTTCGGAGCACTTTTGGAAGTTGAGATGTTGAAAAAGTGCACGGCGTTGTGGCGCGAAGCACACTTGAAGTAAAAAGTGTTAAAAACTGAGGGGTTCGGAGCACTTTTGGAAGTTGAGATGTTGAAAAAGTGCACGGCGTTGTTGGCGCGAAGCACATTTGGAAGTAAAAAGTGTTAAAAACTGAGGGGTTCGGAGCACTTTTGGAAGTTGAGATGTTGAAAAAGTGCACGGCGTTGTGGCGCGAAGCACATTTCAAAGTCAAAAGTGTTAAAAACTGAGGGGTTCGGAGCACTTTTGGAAGTTGAGATGTTGAAAAAGTGCACGGCTTTGTGGCGCGAAGCACATTTGGAAGTAAAAAGTGTTAAAAACTGAGGGGTTCGGAGCACTTTTGGAAGTTGAGATGTTGAAAAAGTGCACGGCGTTGTGGCGCGAAGCACATTTCAAAGTCAAAAGTCGGAGACATTTTGGACGTTCAAATGTCGCTTCGCTTCGCTTCACTACACTACATTACACTACACTACACTCCACTACACTAAATTACACTACACTACACTACATTACACTACACTACACCACCTTCCACTACACTTCACTACACTCCACTACACTACACTCCACTACACTACAACTACACAACTACACTCCACTACACTCCACTACATTAAATTACACTACACTACATTACACTACACTACACTCCACTACATTACACTACACTACACTACCTTCCACTACACTTCACTACATTACACTACACTACACTCCACTACACTACAACTACAACTACAACTACAACTACAACTACACAACTACACTCCACTACACTCCACTACACTAAATTACACTTCACTACACTCCACTACACTACACTCCACTACACTACAACTACACAACTAAACCTCCACTACACTCCACTACACTAAATTACACTACACTGCATTACACTACACTACACTCCACTACATTACACTGCACTACACTACCTTCCACTACACTTCACTACATTACACTACACTACATTACACTACACTACACTACCTTCCACTACACTTCACTACACTCCACCACACTAAATTACACTACACTACAACTACACAACTAAACCTCCACTACACTCCTCTACACTAAATTACACTACACTTCGCTACATTACACTACACTACACTCCGCTACACTACACTACATTACACTACACTACACTACCTTCCACTACACTTCACTACATTACACTACACTACACCTCACTACACTACAACTACAACTACAACTACACAACTACACTCCACTACACTAAATTACACTACACTAAATTACAGTACACTACACTACACTACACTACGCTACATTCCACTACACTCCACTACACCACACTACATTACACTACACTACATTACACTCAATGACACTGCACCACAGATAGACAGTTAGACAGCTAGACAGATGAAGGAGAGAGAGAGATAGATAGGTAGGTAGATAGATAGATAGTTAGGTAATTAGATGAAAGAGAGAGAGAGAGAGATAGATAGATGGATAGATAGATAGATAGATAGATAGAGAGAAAGAAAGAAAGATAGATAGATAGGTAGGTAGGTAGATAGTCAGAGAAAGAGAGAGAAATAGTGAGAGAGATCAATCACCTTTCGCTCCATCAGTGGCTTCGCTCTGCCATCCCTGATTCACAACAACCAACCTCTCCTATAGGTTTCCTATTTTTGAAACTTCCGCCACCGCCTTGTGCGGTACTACTGGTATCAAGCCAAGAACGGCGTGTTCCTATTAAGCCTCTACACGGCCCAGAAGGAACACGTTGTTTTTGTATCATGCCGGGACCATGTTGGGCGTATATGGAGCCTATGTTGGGCCTATGCTGGCCCATGTGAGGCTCTTGGAGGCTATGTTGGGGCTATATTCGAGCCTTGTTGAGCTTATGTTAATCCAAGAACAGCGTGTTCCTTTTAAGGGCTCCAATTTTTTGAAGGTGTTACGCGCTGGAAATTGGCCGCAGTAGGGTATCGATTCCCCCTCGGTCTGGGTTCTCGTGGGTGAGTTAAGTAGCCAGTCAGAGAAATCGATAGAGCGAAATATTTTGCTTAAGAGACTAGAGATACGTAGCTGACCAATCAAGTTTTAAGAAGGCGACCGCTGGAGAACTCCAATTTTGAAGGTGCTACGTGCAGTCGTGATGCTTGCGGGTTTGCTGCACCCGGAGAACTCCACTTTAAGCTTACGGGCTTGCTTCAACAGAAGCACTCCAATGTTGAAGGCGTTATGTGCAGGAAATTTGCTGCAGCAGGGTACCGATGCCCCCTCGGTCCAGTTTCTAGCCAGTTAAACAAATAGATGGAGAAAAATATATTGCTCGGGAGACTGAAGATACGTAAGCCACCAACAGAGTTTCAGGATGTCTGCCTCAAAACTTTCTCTGCGGTTAGGGCTACGCTACAACTGGCGGATTTCAATGTTGAAGGTCTTACACGCAGGCAATTTGCTGTGCGCAGTGGTTTTCATTTGAGAGCTGGCTTTCGTTTCCCCCTTATGTAGCTATGCGCAATCTATCCGTCCATCCGTCCACCCAGGTCATCCAGCCAGCCAGCGACCGTTCTATCTATCTATCTATCTAATCTAATCTAATCTAATCTAATCTAATCTAATCTAATCTATCTATCTATCTATCTAGTCTATCTGTCTGTCTGTCTGTCTATCTATCTATCTATCTGTCTGCCTGTCTGTCTATCTATCTATCTATCTCTCTCTCTCTCTACCTTTCTATCTAGCTGTCGTCCAGCTATCGATAAATTCCCTCTCTCGGTGTGCTCTCCATCCATCTATTATCTGCCTGCATTGATCTATTATTTGTCTACCTATTTAACCCCAAAATCACGGATCAGGGGGGGATCGATGGCCACCGTCACCGATTTGCCACCTGGTACGTTACCCTGCAAAACGACCCCAAACGCCACCCTAAACACGACCTAATTCTCTGATTTTCCTCCGTTTGTCGAGGGGTTCCCCCAGACCTCCTAATCTCTCACTATGTTCGCAAACAGTAACGAGTCCAGCCTGTCCGGCTGGCTTTCGTAATATACACGTCACAAACGCAAATGAGCTGTACTCTTTGGAAGGCATCAACAGCGCAATATGCTAGGGCTGTACATGGGGGGAAAACTGTGTATTCTATCATGTTTTTTTACTACAATTATTCATTCGTTCGTTCATTCATTCATTCTTTCAATCCTTCATTCATCTGTGCCTTGATCCATTCATTCATTTCGCTCTTTCATGGATGCACTTGTTCGCTTATTCTTTTACTCGTCCAACCATCCAGTCATTCTTTCCCGCATTTCTTCTAGCATGCAATGATGAAATCAATGAAACAATTGTGGGATTTAAAAGGCTTCCCTACATGCCCTTTGCTTCCTTGAGCCACCGAATATTATCGAAACTTCCGCGCCGGCCCTGCTGCTAGGTACTGATGGCATGATAGAGTATATCCTCACGTATTTGGCTTGAAAATCAGGAGGAAAATGTTGATCAGCTCAAAAACAATCCCCAAATTCACTGGCTCATCATCGTTTTCTCACGACAATTGCTATGTCTGTATCAACCACTTCTCACCTCCTCATGTCTGGGGTCATTTCTTGGCCACATGCATCTAATAATGTCTAATAGACGCATTGGACGTACTCTCCAGTCCACTCTCCCATTCAATCCATCACCCTGGCCTCTTCAGGCAAGACTGGTCCAGAACTCGCAAACACCAAGCAGATCCGAAAAAACTCAAATGTATCAGGGCTTTGATCAATCATGGCATGGGCCTCCCAATTTTGAGACAACCTCACAACTTGTCACTTCTCAAAATTGCTCTGCCTGGCCCAGTTCTCATCCATCTGCAAGCTTTGAGGCCTCTGAGCTGTGGTGCTTCAACTTGCATCAACTGCTCGGCTTTTAGAAAGGACGGCGAGGTTCCTGGGATTTCCTGGGGCATCAATCAAGGCCAAATGTGAGACCTATGAACAGCAGTAGGAACAGAAGTATGATACTAATAACTTACTAATAACGGAGGGCTGTGTGAGCTATACACAACACATCCTCCCATGGCACAAACACATGCCCCAATTGGAATCGATTTAGAATCAATTTCATTGCATACAAGTCATATAAGTCATCAAAAGAAGAAAGATTCCAGATTTGCCTAAAATGTTTCATTATCAAAACAATGAAGTAGAGGCTTTGGCTGAGTTTCCTTGCAGCCTGATTGTCAGAATGAGTTTGAAAGAACCATGGCACTGTGGCTTTCAGCAAAGTGCCTCAACCGTTTCCACGCCTGCCATTGGTTTCCATTGCGCAAAGCGCTCAGCCATCGATGTCAAGATTCCACCAGGGAACAAGGGAAACTCAAAACAATCGGACAATCGGGTCTGTACATTTCCATATCGTTTGGTTTACCATCGTCTTGAAAAATTCCTGAATAATAATTATTGGCGCCTGAAAAATCCAAGAGTAACAATAATCACTTCTCTCACCTGTCCTCCGGGCTACTGTGGGCCGGCAAGATATGGAACTTAGATGTTCTTGTCTTATGTGCCTTGTGTTCTGTGGGCACCCTCCTGTCAACGAGTTTGAGCCCCACCAAAAGGCAGCTCAGCTGGGAGGAACTCTGGAGGCGCGGTGCAAGAGTCAACTAGGGCTGTTTGCAGCCACAGACGGCACCTTGAGACGATCATCTGGAGGCGGAAGAGTTAACTCCTCACAGGGGTGCAGTTGGAGTTGTCGATGGCTGGCACTACTATGGTAACACCATAACTTGGCATATCACCTCAATAATTTTGGTTCTATAATAAAACCCCCGGATTAGCGAAACCCGTTCCCTCCGAAAATTTTGGGGCAATACTGAAGTCAATTAGGTGCTGATTCCCCCCCTAATAACACTAAAATACCCCCAATTAGCGAAGCCCCTCTGGGATCCCCAATTTTTTGGTGGAACTAATTTGCGATTACTCCCTTTTACTTTTTAATTCGGGCTACAATTTCCAGGGTTAATTAGTGATCCTTTCCTATCTTCTTCCTAATTTGACTCGTCTCATGCTGACAAAACTACTAAACCCCACCAGCCGCAAAGAGTCTTTTTCTATGCTTGTTTCATGTGCCGTTATCTTATTTTTGGCAAAAATCACATCAACGTTGCATTGCCCGATGTTTCCTCATCCACCTCCCAGGGATGTTTTTGGTCCATATGTTTAATTTCAAGACGCCAAAATTCCAAAAAAAAACATATCCCCCAAATGATCGATTTCTAATTAAAATCGCATCTAATTAAAAAATGCTGTTTTTGGGAACTCAGAAAGGCTACCCCCCTTGAGCGCGGTCACCCCCACAAATAAAAAGACGCTCCCCACTGTCTCCATGTCCATTGGCACATACATCAGATCGCATGACTGCAGGGACCCATTTGCTTCTCAAAGGAGAAAAGGAGCCCGCTTGTGTCCTCAGGTGTCGGGTTTGATCCTCCACAATTGGTAGCGGAGCCCGGTCCCAGCGTTGCGGCATGGTAGGTCTCTAGGAAGAGACGCACATCGAAGTTGCCACGTGGTTCAGAATTTCATTGGTGGCGTCTTCTTCGGCTGCCTCCACATCCTAATCTGGCCAGTCTGGCGAAAATGAGGATGGCCGAGGATACCGCAGATGGAAAACTTGGGTGTTGAATAAGATGCTGACCAAAGATAAGCTGGGTGATAACGCTCGTGGTGCGTTTATCATGACGCTGCTTTCTGGTACAGCCTACGAAACTGTTGAGCATGTCGACCCCAAGGAACATCAGAAGAAAGATGGCGATCAACTACTCTGGCAGTTGCTTGATGCGAGGTTTCCCAAGCTTGAGGCTGTGGACGAACTCAGTGAGATACTCACTGAAGTCTTTTCTCTTCATGCCCGTGAAGGAGAAAACATGAAACAGTGGACTGCCAGGGCATCAGGGCTGTTTGACAGATGCAACAGAAAGACCGGTGTTGGTTTCCCTGAAGAGGCTACCAGGGGCGATTTCAAGCGTGAGTCAATAGCATCTGCTCTGCGGTCGTGCTATCCCGAGCTGGTAGTGAAGAAGAAGGCCATCGCCTTGGTTGATGAAATACTTGCAGTTGAAACATCGCCACAGTGAGTGTGTCTTCCCATCTGGCTTGCTTGTAAAAAAGGGGTGATTCGTGCAGCCATCGTGAATGGTGCTGCACCACTGCTGATCAGCCGCACCACCCTGAAGTCACTTCGTGCCTCACTGGATTTTCACGACGATCAGTTGCAAGTGTTTGATGGTACCGTGGTGCCCCTCAAATCCAATAGTGGTGGTCAATATATTTGAGACTTTAATAGTAAGCTTAAACAAGAATTATATAAATAATCTTAGTTATGATTTTTTAATGATGAAATTTATGTGGTTTTAATGATTTAATGCCGAGAAAAACAAAAAATAATCATTAAAAAACGTGAAATCATTTAAAAAACATTAAGAAAAAACATTAAAAAAAATCATTTTAAAAAAAATATCATTTAAAAAAAAAACAAAAAACAGAAAAAAAAAACATAAAAAAAAGTCAAAAAATAATAATAATAAATCATAAATATATGATTTTGTAATGACTTGGTTTGATTTTTTAATTTATTTATTGTTTTTAATGCCTTTTTTATGATCTTGGTTTTTATGATTTTGTTAATGATGTTTTTATGATTTTGGTTTTTATGATTTTGTTAATGATGTTTTATGTGTTTATGATTTTTGTTAATGATGTTTTATGTTTTTTTGTTAAATGTTTATTTTTTGTTTTTCTCGGCTTTGAAAATTTTAAAAAACACCAGAAAATCAATAAAAACATAAAAATGCCAGCACGCAAAAAAAAAAGAACATAAATTTCATCATTTTCCATGAAAAAAACCAAATCATAAATTTAATCAGATAAAAGTCATTAAAAAATCAAATTACTTTACTTCGTGTGATCCCCACCATGACATTTATACATTTTCTTACTGGCAAATCTTCTGGCATTCTATCTGACATATCTTCTGACATTCTATTTGGCATTCTATCTGGCAGATCTTCTGGCATATGTTCTGGCATATCTTCTGGCATATCTTCTGGCATTCTATCTGACATATCTTCTGGCATTCTATCTGGCATTCTATCTGGCATATCTTCTGGCATATATTCTGACATATCTTCTGGTATTCTATCTGGCATTCTATCTGCCATTCTATCTGGCATATCTTCTGGCATATCTATCTGGCATATCTTCTGGCATTCTATCTGGCAAATCTTCTGGCAAATCTTCTGGCATTCTATCTGGCAAATCTTCTGGGATTCTATCTGGCATATTTTGTGGCATTCTATCTGACATTTTATCTGGCATTCTATTTGGCATACCTTCTGGCTTTCTATCTGGCATATCTTCTGGCATTCTATCTGGCATTCTATCTGGCATATCTTCTGGCATATATTCTGACATATCTTCTGGCATTCTATCTGGCATTCTATCTGCCATTCTATCTGGCATATCTTCTTGCATATCTATCTGGCATATCTTCTGGCATTCTATCTGGCAAATCTTCTGGCAAATCTTCTGGCATTCTATCTGGCAAATCTTCTGGGATTCTATCTGGCATATTTTGTGGCATTCTATCTGACATTTTATCTGGCATTCTATCTGGCATATCTTCTGGCATTCTATCTGGTATATCTTCTGGCATTCTATCTGGCATATCCTCTGGCATTCTATCTGGCATATCTCATGGCATTTTATCTGGCATATCTTCTGACATTCTATCTGGCATATCTTCTGACATTCTTTCTGGCATATCTTCTGACATTCTGTCTGGCATATCTTCTGACATTCTTTCTGACATTCTTTCTGGCATTGTATCTGACTGAGCTCTACCTGGCATATCTTCTGGCATATGTTCTGGCATATCTTCTGACATTCTATCTGACATCTTTTCTGACATTCTTCCCGTTGAGGTCCGGCAGTGCCCACTGCGATCTGGAAGTCGCGGTTGAGGTCCGGCAGTGCCCACTGCGATCTGGAAGTCGTGGTTGAGGTCCGGCAGTGCCCACTGCGATCTGGAAGTCGCGGTTGAGGTCCGGCAGTGCCCACTGCGACCTGGAAGTCGCGGTTGAGGTCCGGCACTGCCCACTGGGATCTGGAGCTCGCGGTGGAGGTCCGGCAGTGCCCACTGGGATCTGGAGCTCGCGGTGGAGGTCCGGCTGTGCCCACTGGGATCTGGACTGCGAGGAGGAGGCGGCGGGTGAGGAGGCGGAGGAGGCGGAGGAGGCGGAGGTGGAGGCGGAGGTGGAGGCGGAGGAGGCGGAGGCGGAGGAGGAGGAGAACAGCTCTGATAAAATCTAACAACCCTCACCTGGCAGGTGGGGAAAGATATTTTTAACATAAGGCCCCCTTGCTACTTGTAAAGTCTCAACAATATATTGTGAATTTGATGGATCGAGATCGTAAGGCTACACCTGGCGTCTCTGAGGTCACTGAAGTGATCGTCTCCAAAGCTTTGCTGGATTCAGGAGGACTGCGGACCTGTTCACATACCATGGCTGTCGTCAGTCGGTCCTGCATGGTCTAAAGTGTCGCGTCGGGTAGTGTTAGATGGGATAACTAAACAGGTGTTAGCCTCACATGATTTAGTCCATCCAGTGCTGCGGAAACAAACCATCACTCCGTTGCCTCCGAACTCCGGTCATGTGATTACTAAGTTTTTCCATGATGATCAGAGGTTTCCCTCCAGTGATTGCACCAGCACCCTGAATGAGTTTTGGAAGCGCACCAGGAAACAGGAACGTCAGCTGATGTCTCAGGTCCGAACATGTCATGAAGTTGGTTGAATAAGGCAACATCGGTAGCCAGCAGTTTTTGGATTTGCTTCCTCAGTCTTATCCGGCCATAGATCAGCCAGATGTAGAGTCTGCACCAGAAGGTCAACCACCAAAAGATGAATCCGCGCCAGTCGTAGCACCAAACACTGTCGAGCAGCCAGAACTCAATGCCGATGCACGGTCTCCGGCTCCTGAAGCATTCCCGGACATCAATTCATTGCAAGATGTAGCAGTGCCTGAAACCAGTCCCGAGGCTCCAACAGCTTCGTCATCAACCAGTGGGGAGACTCCTGTAACTAATCCGGGGGATAGTACTTATGGCCCCATAAGACGTAGAGTAACACAAAAAGACGGCCCAATGTCCTTTTGGAGACCAGCTGCCATGCGTCAAGACGATTTTGTTGAAATCATGAAGGAAATTGTTCCTCCACTTGTTGAAAAGTCCATTGAGACTTCCGAATCTGACACCTCTGACCAAGAGATGCATGATGCCGAAGCTGGGGAACCAGCACCTGCCCGACCTCGCACATAAAACGAAAAAAATGTCCAAGGAGTTGCACCACAGCAACAACCCACCTGAGCTGCAGAAAATGGTCGATGACGGCAAGCGGGCAGAATGGGAGACAATCCTCTCCAAGCAAGATGCCGTGCGCGTTCACTACGGCCGGAAGGCAGCCCAGATCAAGCGCGACGACCCTGACCGATTTATCGGTAGCCGGTTTGCGCTGACCCGTAAGCCACTAGAAGAAGGGGCTGATGTTGACCCGAATAGCTGGGATTCCTTCCGTGTTAGGGGTAGATGGTGCTTACAAGGGCACCTAGATCCAGACCTGTCAGAGAAGGCCGAACAGGGCATGTTGAAATCACCCACCCTCAGCCAGTTGGCAAGAATGACACCCATGCAAGTCATCAGTTCCATGCGGTGATAGATGCCAAATTCAGACCGCTGTACGCTCATCAGCAAGCTGGTGGCATTCCCGGCTTGCCCAGTGATGCCGTTATCGAAATCTGTGGAAACACCTATGGGCAAAACGATGCCCCAGCAGCCTGGTTCAAAGAATTCGCATCTTTTGTGGTGTCATGTGGTTGGCAAAGCAAGTTGGACCAGTGTCTTTTCACCTTGCGAGATCCAAGAGAAACAGTCCATAGCTGCCATGGGAGTGCACGTAGATGATACTGCTCTGGGAGGCGACTTGTCCAGTCAGGTGTTCCAGAATGCGTTGACCAAGCTAAAGGCTAGGTTCCCTTACAGAAAATGGCGCGTACAATCCGGAGAGTTTTGTGGTGCATGGTATACTCAGAGAGCGGACAAGTCCATTCACATGAGCATGCAGTCCTTTGCCGAGCGAATCCGACCTGTGAATGTACCCAAGGGTGTTCCAGCCGAAGACCCCCTTAATGACAGTCAGATCAAAGTCCTTCGTGCGGTTAATGGTTCCTTGAATTGGCTTTCCTCTCAAGGACCTGACCTTAGTGTTCAAACAAGCATGTCGTCTCAACAGTCATTTCCTCGACCCACCATCAAGACTTCAGAACTGTGAATCATGCCCTTCGTCATGCCTGCAGATCCAAACTCCTTAACGTTGGTATGTCACTCTGACTCCGCGTGGGCCAATGTTGGGTCTCATACTCAGGCAGGGTACATGATAGGTTTCACTCACAGTAAGCTTCAACATGGTCATGAAGTCTCCTGGGCTCCGGCATGCTGGAAGAGTTATAAGATGTTATAAGATGCCTAGGCCCTAGGGCAGTCAATAGTACCCTGGCTGCTGAGAGCCAGGCCATGTCAGTGGCTTCTGGGACTGTAGAGTGGCTCATGCTTTTGTTGTCAGAGCTGTTAGATGGCCCATTGGATGTTCCGTCTTGTCGCGATCGCCTGAACCAACGCAGAGCAATCCCAGTGACAGATTGTAAAAGCTTGTGTGACCACTTGCATTCACCATAATTAATCACCCACATCGATTGAAGATTGTCGCACCAGCATTGATGTTGTTATCATTCGCGTAGAGTGTGAAGTACCTAGGAGCTCATGTGCGCTGGGTCACAACGGATCGTATTTTGGCCGATGGCCTTACCAAAGACTCCGGACCTCCCATTGACCTACTCCGAGCATGCATGAAAAGAGCCAATCAGATCAGTCCTGAAAGTATAGTTTTGGAGTATCAAGCACTAGAACGTGATCGTCGCCTGCAGGGTAGGTCACACAAGCAAGTTCCAAATAATTAGTGTGTAGCGCAGTGTTTTTCAATTTTGGAAGTAGCAAAGCTTGAATGCACTTAATCAGTGTCATGTTGGAACCGTTTTGAGAGATTGCCTGCAAGCTAGTCCGGCCCTTGTTCAAGCTGCATTTTCAGTTGGTCAAGAAAAGCTAGCACAGAACCTTGCAGTCTTGGGTAGATCCGATGTCTAGTTTTTCCCAAGAACAGATCTCCAATGTGCGAGCTCTGTTGGATGCAGTGCGTAGCGATGGCACTCTGGAATTACTGAAGGCCGTGCTTTCGACTGAGACCGCAGTTGGTGATGGTGATCAGTCGGAGTTCGAAGTGCTCTCATCTCCTCTGGCCTCCGGCATGAGAATGAGATGCCAGCAAGCGCCGCTCTGATGAGTTCCTGGCAGATTCGCCTCCTATGAAGCAGCTTCCAGTGCTGCCCAGCGATGTCTCCTCCAAGGGATACCAGGCCAGCGGCCTTCCCATGGGCTTGACGTCGATGTCGGAATGGGGCCTCCTAATTATGGAGGTGGGCAAGGAGGGATTGACCTACCAGGAGCTGAGTACCAGCACAGATAAGGCCAAGCAGGCCTACTGCACCTGGATGTTGTCTCAGCGCGGTCGAAATGACTTCAGCCCTTTGATGATGGATTTCCTCAAGTATCTGCAAGCACCATGTGCTATCTAGGCAGTACTGTGCCCCGCAAGCTGCGCCGTTGAAGCTGCCAAGATGATCGAGCGTCGCTGTATGGCCTATATGGGGCTTTTCGTCCATCGAATCTGTCCACTGAGCATTGCTTCAAATATGACGGCAGGATGCCGAAGAAATGCAGATTTGAAAAGATAGTAGTACGTACCAGTGTCGAAGTTGCCACTGTCTCCATGTCCATTGGCACATACATCAGATCGCATGACTGCAGGGACCCAGTTGCTTCTCAAAGGAGAAAAGGAGCCCGCTTGTGCCCTCAGGTGTAGGGTTTGATCCTCCGCAATATATATATATATATAATTATATATATATAAATATATATATATATACATACTGCTTCATACCTACCCAGAAGCACAGGACTTTCGTCAGAGCTGACAGACAAAGTGACTCTGACTGCTGTCCTCTCGGATGACCTCGCGGCACATGAGTAATGGTAGCAAGCCATAGACATGCTGCTCCGGCACCTGTCAGGGCACCGTGGCACCGAACCCTCTGATGACATGATGGCATGATGACATCTCGACCGAATCCTCTGAGATCACAATCTCCCTGAGGTACCACACCCAAGCCGTCGAATCGAAGCTGGGTGACATCGGGGTGCGATCTGTGCAAGGCGCGATCTGCGCAAGGAAGCACCAGAGGAAAACAAGAACACAACTGGCACATGAGGGACAGCTGCAACAAGAGCACACTGAGTACACAGCGAAGGCTTTCTCAACTGGAAATAATTTCTGCAAGAAAAAACGACGAGGTTTTGAAATCTTGAATCCTCACCACAGATCTGCCTGAGGGCCTTGGCCCTAGGAGCCTAGAGTCCGAAACATCCCCAATTGGAACGACAAGGCTGAGAGATGGCAGCAGTGTCGCCAAGGCCACAAGGTTTTGAAGGATGTGGGCTCTGCGAGTGGAAAAAATGCTTTCAAAAAGCCAGAAACGGATTTCATATTGGAACCCACTTTCCCAGCTTCCCAGCTTCGAGGAGCAGCAAAGTCTTTCGAAGGTAACATTGTACAGTGAGAGGACAATGGAACCAGAAAACATTGCCACTGCCCACAAGAAACCGTCCAACTTGCCAGCTTTATCTCGTTTTCATTGTTCTCCATCATCTTCATCGAAAATTGCAAGTGCTCACAGTGCTCACCAACCACATCATTTTGTCACTGCTGCATGGTCGATTCGCCAGTCACGCGTTCGACCGCCGCGTCGCTTCAGATCTCTGCCGACTTTGGGCGTAGACCTGACAGCGGTGCCCGAGCGAAGTTGACGTGGCTCAGCCTGGCCTATCTCCACCATGTTCGATCTGCTGAATGGGTCTCACTGGTGCTGGGGCTCAATGACGTGCAACCATTAAAGGTGACTAAAGCTGGGATAAACCAGGATGACTTCAGGGAAACTCCGGGAAATCTATGCCTTTTAAATCCGCGGATGATGAAATCCTTGGATTCGTGCACCACAGAGTATCACTAGCAAATTTCATTTTATTAGTCATCATCTCCCACCTGTGCGGCTTCATCCTCAACTTCCGCCATGTCACGCTTGGTGCTGAAGACGGTGATGATGTTCCTGGCAGGACACGGACACTCAGTATGCCGCACAGCGGTGAGGTCCTGGACAACTTGACGACGCCAAAACGACAAAACCCGCTTGGAAAACGAGGTCACATCCAAGGCCACACCCAATATGGTGAAGAGCAGAGCTCCCATAGCAACCCTTGGCGCCCCCACACCCAGCTTCATCATTGAGATGTCACACGACATCACACTAGTCACTGCATGTCACTGGTCCATGATATTTTATGATATCATGTACATGCTTCTTTCATTTCTTTCTGTAGTCTTAGAGTCTTGGCCCACCACCGGTTGGCACGACTGGAGATTGCCAGCGCCGACTTTGTCTCTTTCTGTCAGAAACTCAACGAATGCCAAAAATGCTTGCAAACTTTTGACAACTGGTGATGTTCTTCCAAACTTTGCTATGGCCTGCAAAGGCAGAGAGATCATAGGGCCATTTATCCTATGGGTTTATACTGCTACAAAGATACAAATGAATACGGCACCGATGCCATGACGCCGAAGCTGCGCCTTGACCCAAACGCTCAGCCCTTCGACTCGGCTTGACTTGGCACGGGAACGCATTGCCTCACGGTGCATGTGGAAACTGGATGAAACTGACCATTTTGTTCTCCAAATCAATAGACGCTGTACTCCAAATGGGCAATTAATGTGCATAGTATTTCAGTCAAAGTGACTCTGTACCTAGACTTCCCAGACATGGATGCCTTGAGGAAACAAGGGAAAAAGATGCAATTTTACTTTACGGGTAGCAGGCAACAGGTGTGTTTCTTTGAGCAGTTTGACTCGGGCTGCACGCTATGGCACTATGGATGTGTTATGACTCAGGCGAAATACATCAAAATACTGCATTCATTACACGACAACATTGCAGGACAAAACTGGCGACACCAGAAGCAGCTCGAGCCTCCTGCTGAACATCAAGCAGATGTTCCCTGCAGAAAGTCTTCACAGGTATGCCAGATACGCACTCAGTATTCCACCAACAGGCAAAGTGAAACAAACAACCTTGACATGGAAACACATTCTTGGCGCAGAGCGAAACCCAAATTCCTCAAAGGATTTCAAAACAAAAACTGGTTCTGTTTATTTGTGTGTGCTCTACAAAACATTTGGGGAAGGGTCAAAATCATTGGGATGGCTTGGGGCAGTCAACATTACGCAAGGTTCAACACCTTGCTCAGCTATGCTCAGCAGCAGTCCTGTCGCTCTTCTCTTCCTCCCAAGTTGAGCAGCAATTGTCTTAGAGACACTCCACAATTCAGCATCAAAATGGCAGTAATATACGGACTTCTAAATATACAAACAGTTATTTTAGACTACCTCCGGGAAGGTTTTCCTTGGCCCGCCCGGCCATTTAAACATACGGAATTCAATTCATTTAAACACACGGTAACTACATTTAACTATACAAAGTGGTATTTCATACTACCTCCGGGGCCTCACAGTCTGGCCCACCTTCCACATATTTGAAAGTCGTTACCATACATATATGCTGCATATATATATATTATATTATATTATATCGTATTATATTATATTGTATTATATTATATTATATTATATTATTTATATACATACTGCATGCATATATGTAAAAAGAAAGTTAAAAAAAAAAACGAATCATAATGAAATATTCTTAAGGCACAACACCGACTGACGTGGACTCTCGCACGCCCCCCAAACACGATGCAATTTCTTCGCTCGATTTGACATTGGAATCGGGCGTGATCGACACACTTTGGATCACACTGGTACAACTAGTAACACGCGCTCGGTCCACACCTCGGCAAAAACCAGAGAATCTCCAATCAGGACTTGCAACGGCGGCTTTCACGTTCTGTTCGCAAATTTCACAAACAAACCTTTCTCTCTGTTCGACACCCGTGTCTCACACGGTGACATGTTGTGAAATCAAACAGCTCAAACAACATTTCCTGCCCATCAAAAATGCTCAGTTTCGGGACAATTCCCCATTGATGGGTCGAGGCAACGCCCATGTCAAATCCTTTGGCACTGGCTGTCCTGCGAGCCAGCCTCAGCACGGAAGTGTCCAGCATGAGGCCATGGGGGTGGCATGTCTCAGGCAGCAACCGTCGATCATGTCAAAGAACATGCGATTGTTCGCAACCTCAAAGGTCCGACATGTGGCATAGCGGAGTATAGCGGAGTATAGCGGAGTATAGCGGCTACAGCGGGTGGAACCTCAGCATCTCATCTATCGGCAACCAAGTCACCACAGGGAGAAAGTTCTCCTCATGCAGGTCCCGGAGAAATCTGTCTGTGTCTTCTGCTAGCCTTTGGAAGAGGTGCCACACTCAAGCACACACTGGAACACTGCAAAGTGGACCAAATCTTATGATTTTTGTTGTCTCATTTGCAAACTCCAGCACTTTGGGATGCGCGTGGGTCTCTGGGCCAACTCTTCTCTGAGCAATCTCTTCTCTGAGTTGCTCCTTCCAGAAGCAGCTCATCTCCAAGTTACCTTCCGCACCCCAAATATAAATGTTATTTTCTTGTTTGGTTCGTTCCTTCGAATGGACGAAATAAATCAAACCCCGAACAGCGCTACGAAACCAGAACATTGAAATTCGGGGGAGGTAGGGGGTGGCCTACAACTCATGGATAGGTGTTTGAATAATTTGTCCATCTACGGTACGGGGGGCGGTGGTCAACAGGAGTGTATAGCGAATGGTAAGCGTCACTTTTTGATCGACATTAGCACATATTGTACGAAGATATGAATTAGGTGACAGACGTGCAGTGACGTGCATTGAACATTTTGAATTTGACTGTATGACTGCCCTACAAGGATGACAGGAGTCGCTTTTGCTCAAAGGGCAGCAACTTGCCAAAAGCGCTCAAGGACTGCCAATCTCCACGGCTGAGTTCAACCACATCCACAGCTCCAAGAGACAACAGTTCCTCGGCCAATGCTGCAGCCTTGACCTGCGGCAGCTTTGCCTTCGCAGCCAACTCATCCATTCCCTCCAGCACCTTGGTGCCTTGGGGTAATGAAAATGGAAGGCTGGGGGCATTCAAGGCTGCTGCAGCGTCATGCTCCATGGCACCATCACGAATCCACTTGCTCAAGCATGTGGCGCAAGGAGTTGTTGCCCGCAAAGCCGAGATGGTTTCTGTGCAGGTGAAAATCAACAGCCTGCTTTTCATATGTTTGATGTCCTCTTCGTCCACGGTAGGGAGCGGTTTCCAGAGGTCTTTGGCCTTGCCTGTCAGAACACAGCCCCGGTGCCATTCAAAATCTGTGTTCCCATCGTTGAAAGCTTGGGATATTTGCACCTCAAAGGGCTGGCCCTGGAACAAACTCAGAAAAGTGGTCACAGGCACAGTTCTCTGGCCATACTCAACTGGACGGAAGTCGTCCCAAAAGAGGAACTTCTTCTCCTTGAGTAGGGCGCAGGGCAAAGCTCGACCCGAGCGCAGATTTGTGGAACACATGCGCAAAGCCATGCAACTCATCAAAGGGAAGGACCAGGGTCGACTTCCCAGAGTTGGTGGGACCAACAATCATTGGCACTCTGGTCGTCTCTGCTGGGCCTGTCACCAGGATGTTCCTGAGAGCTACAGCAAGTTCAACACGAGACAAAGACATGGAATTGGCTGCAAAGAATGCTGCGGCTGCGTGGTTATAGGAGCAAGCATGACCGTGGGGGCAATCTTTGTCTGCAGTGGCACAAAGTGTTGACCATTCACTGTGGCGTTCTGCTGCAGCTTGTTGCCTGGCTTCGCCCCATTGCATTGCCTCAGCCACAAAATCCTTGAGGTATCGCTGCCGCTGGTGGACGAAAAGCTGCATTTGCTCTGTGCCATGATCTTGGACATACTCCATTACTGCAGCTTGGGTGGTCAAACCTTGGCTCATGATGAGGGCAGTCAAGCCCAATTTGTTGAAGCGCGGCTTCTTCTGCTTGCTGCCCTCTGATGCAGTTGCTCTCTCAGCCTCCTCATGCCGGCGCTTTCAGATGGCCGCATTCCAGGGGCGCTGGGATTCAGCGAAAAGGTCTAGAGCTTGCCACCCTCCATCTGCAGACCACGAAACTGGATGCGCATCAAAGTTGGGATGTATCCATACCTGACTGCGCTCCAGAACTGTGTGTGGTTGCTGGAAAAGTGGCATGCTAAATGGTCCCTCCCCCGCAACGTGTACTTGGCCGTGGTCCACTTTCTTGCGCGGTTCAGCTTGACAGCAATGTGGAAATGTTTGCTGCCATCTGAATGCTCTTCTTGGAAGACCACGAGCTTCTGCACCAGGCCATCCGCCTTGCTCCGGCGCTGGCCACCTGTGCCAGGGGGATACACCGGATTGTCAAAGGCAAGCCGGACGCAGTCAGCCACCTCCTGGCGACTCATAGCCTGAATGTCCCGCAAGTCAGTAGAATCAAGCGTGCCAGGCAGCACACGGGAGATTGTGAGGAGATGAGCTTGGTGCTTGAAGTTCGTCTCTTCGGCGCCCAACCCTTGCACAACCTCTGCCATGTGCTGCTGCGGTGCTGCAGCAGGACTTTGCAGCGTGGCCCGAATCCACTCATTGACTTGGTGCTTGCAGTCCCCTTCCAGAACCGTGCTATCAAAACCAAGGTGTTCTGCTAGGGAAAGAGAAAGGGAACTGGAAAAACACAGCATTTTCGATCACGCCCGAGAAAGGGAACTGGAAAAACACAGCATTTTCGATCACGCCCGAGAAAGGGAACTGGAAAAACACGGCATTTTCGATCACGCCCGAGAAAGGGAACTGGAAAAACATAGACTTTCGACCACATCGTAGCCAAAGAGTTCGCAATTTTTTAATCGGTTGGCAAAACAACTTGAGGATGGGCTAGTTGAGAACATGCTAACAGAAGTGTATCATGATATTCTAGCCCGCATGCGCCATAATCATTCCAAAACCCCCCCTGACATCCTAGCAGACCAGCATCAACATTCTGCTCCTAGTACTCTACTTGCCAAATACAAAGTGCTCCAACCGAACGCGCTTCGGTTGAGCCACTTTGCAATCATCTGATGGAACCTCTTTCCCTCCTTTCCTTCCTTGTTCCTGTCCATGACATAATATATACATGTGTTTTTAATGAATGTACAAGTGGCAAGCTACAAAGTGTGGGAGCAGACTTGCGACCAGGACAAGTGACGGACGTGAGCTCAAGAAGATGGATGAAGTCTATCCAGGAAGTGACTTGAAGGCATCCCCTGTGTGCAGTTGAGTTGCGGACGCAGTTGTGTAAGTAGGGCGGCGTAGCCAAGACAATGGGAATGTCCTGCAGGGCAGGATTGTACCATGGAAAGACTCAGCAGGATTATGCAATGGAAGACTCAGCAAAAGATGTCAGCAACTCTTTCATTGAGGCCCGCACACCACCTTTACACAAGACTCATGCAGGACTGCTTGCTTCGAAGCAGGCCAAGTGAAACTATACAAGTTGGATCAAAGGCCGCTATCATCTCTCAGCGGTTGCCACTCAGGAAAGTAATTGCCCTTGGCATCCTTGAGCTGTTTGACGCGGCCGGCCAAAGCTTCCACAATTTTTGTGATGTAGTCACCAGACAAGCTGAAGGCTGCTCGCCTGAGACGAGCGAGATGAGCCTTTCTGGTCTCCCGCTTGGTCTGCGGCCACTTGCGCTCAATAGCGCGCATCTTCTTGTTGACCGCAGCCCAGAAGCTAAAGTCTAAGGGGTTCATGTCTGGCGACCGCTTTGGCAAATCCAAAGATGTGATGCCGGCCTTCTTTTTGGCCGCTACACCTTTGGCCGATTTGTACCCTGCCGGGTCATTGTCCTCAAGGACACGCCAAGGCCCTCGAACATCCGGATATTCCTTGGCCAGGCATCGCTGCAATGGCTTGGAATACATGTGAGCTGCTGCTTCCCCATTCCAGCGACCAGGCGTCACATGCCACATCAGCACCTTGCCATTGCCAATGGCACAAGTGACATGCACAGCTCTGGCCCCGGTGTTTTGCTTGAGGGTTGCAGATGGCTTGATGTATCCGGGTGTGAACACACGTTGTCGGCCACGGTATGCACCACGAACGTTGCGACGGGCAGCATACGACCGAAACTTGCCCGTGTGGTACACCTGGAAAGTTTTGCTTTCTATGACAGCGTGAACATATCCTGTGCCTGCAAGGTCGGAGACGGGTAAAACAAATAGATTAAGAAGTTGTATAGGCTTCAAAAGCATAGACACATGCTACATCATTTCTTTGGCCCTAAAACTTGAAGGAACCAAGCTTGACAACCAAGGCTCTACCCCACCGGGCTGGACTTCTGTGAGCATGAGCCAAAGCCCATGCAAGGCGATCCTTAACATCCTGAGGTGACAAATCGGGCTTTTCGTACAATGAGCGGAAGTGGACGCCGTGTGCCCAAAATGCACGGCTCAAAGTTTTGACGCTGCACTTGAGCTTCAGCTCCTTCTTCACCATCTTGACAGTGACCTCCTTGCCGCGGGCATTCTTCAGGAGGCGTTTGTATCCCTTGAAGATGCGTTTGTAGTTGGAATCTGTGATGCACACCTTCCGGCCAACTCTGGCTGGCTTTGCTTTGCATCTGCGGAAAAGGTGCTTCGAGATGGTGTCCGTGGAGCGGCCCAAGGCACCGGCGATCCGCTTGACGCCCAACACACTGGCATGCAAATGCCTCATGAGCTCTTCCTCCACAGGAGTCACATGGGAAAAGCTAGCACTGCACGCTGCCTCGGGTGCTGAAAGCGGCCGCAATACTTTGCTAATTGCGTGCTGGCCATACCCAAGCTGCTTCATGCGGGCAGCAACTGTGCCTGCAAAGTCCGTGTGAGCCATGCTATGGGCCTGGTCCGGTACACTGAAATGGTTTAGAGCTTAGAGCCGCTGTGTGCTGCGCGAGGAAGGAGAAAGCCTGCAACAAAGCACAAGACAACACATCAATCATAGTTCTGCTGTCCTGGGTGAGCTTCATCCACTGTGCTGCTGACACATGCCTGGGCGAACATGGCGGTCACAGAAGTCAATGCGCTCACATGAAGGCCAAGAGAGAAAAGTTGTGCCATCACGCAACGCGAGGCGGCCCCATCCTGAAGTGCCTCAAAGCAAGTCCAGTACGTGGAGGAGCTTTGCGCCACGCTCAGCTGAAGATGAAGAGAGAAAAGTCGTGCCATCGGCAGGCAGGAATCTACAGGTTTTGTATGGTCAGTGGCAACTATGTGGAAGTAGCGAAGATATTAAGGATGCAAGGTGGGCCTTATCATCCACCTTTATGGCATTGTCACTGGGTTTGCAATTTTTCAGACATGTGGTGACATTCTTTGACAAAAAACTTGTACATGCACTGTGTCGCAGACAGGAAGAAGATGCAAGGTGGGCCTTATCATCCAATAATTCGTCCATCTACGGTACGGGGGGCGGTGGTCAGCAGGAGTGTATAGCGAATGGTAAGCGTCACTTTTTGATCGACATTAGCACATATTGTACGAAGATATGAATTAGGTGACAGACGTGCAGTGACCTTGACATCCTGAGGTGACAAATCGGGCTTTTCGTACAATGAGCGGAAGTGGACGCCGTGTGCCCAAAATGCACGGCTCAAAGTTTTGACGCTGCACTTGAGCTTCAGCTCCTTCTTCACCATCTTGACAGTGACCTCCTTGCCGCGGGCATTCTTCAGGAGGCGTTTGTATCCCTTGAAGATGCGTTTGTAGTTGGAATCTGTGATGCACACCTTCCGGCCAACTCTGGCTGGCTTTGCTTTGCATCTGCGGAAAAGGTGCTTCGAGATGGTGTCCGTGGAGCGGCCCAAGGCACCGGCGATCCGCTTGACGCCCAACACACTGGCATGCAAATGCCTCATGAGCTCTTCCTCCACAGGAGTCACATGGGAAAAGCTAGCACTGCACACTGCCTCGGGTGCTGAAAGCGGCCGCAATACTTTGCTGATTGCGTGCTGGCCATACCCAAGCTGCTTCATGCGGGCAGCAACTGTGCCTGCAAAGTCCGTGTGAGCCATGCTATGGGCCTGGTCCGGTACACTGAAATGGTTTAGAGCTTAGAGCCGCTGTGTGCTGCGCGAGGAAGGAGAAAGCCTGCAACAAAGCACAAGACAACACATCAATCATAGTTCTGCTGTCCTGGGTGAGCTTCATCCACTTTGCTGCTGACACATGCCTGGGCGAACATGGCGGTCACAGAAGTCAATGCGCTCACATGAAGGCCAAGAGAGAAAAGTTGTGCCATCACGCAACGCGAGGCGGCCCCATCCTGAAGTGCCTCAAAGCAAGTCCAGTACGTGGAGGAGCTTTGCGCCACGCTCAGCTGAAGATGAAGAGAGAAAAGTCGTGCCATCGGCAGGAATCCACAGGTTTTGTATGGTCAGTGGCAACTATGTGGAAGTAGCGAAGATATTAAGGATGCAAGGTGGGCCTTATCATCCACCTTTATGGCATTGTCACTGGGTTTGCAATTTTTCAGACATGTGGTGACATTCTTTGACAAAAAACTTGTACATGCACTGTGTCGCAGACAGGAAGAAGATGCAAGGTGGGCCTTATCATCCACCTTTATGGCGTTGTCACTGGGGTTTCTTTTTTGAGACATGTGGTGACATTTAGAAAGACACCACCACCACCATCATCACCACCACCACAGCAACAACAACGACAACAACAACAACAACCACAACCACAACCACAACCACAACCACAACCACAACGACAACAACGACAACAACAACAACGACAACAACAACAAGAACAAGAACAAGAACAAGTAGATGGGCCTTATCATCCACCTTTATGGCGTTGTCACTGGGCATGCTTTTTCAGACAAGTGGTGACATGTGATGACACTTGTTGAAGCAATGTCTGAGTTCTTGGGATCAGATGCGAAAAAATGCAAAAAGAGGAGAAAAAATGAACTCTTGAGACAGTAGATGGACAAATTATTCAAACCCCTATCCATGAGTTATAGGCCACCCCCTACCTCCCCCGAATTTCAATGTTATGGTTTCGTAGCGCTGTTCCTGCTCTGGGGGTTTGATTTATTTCGTCCATTCGAAGGAACGAACCAAACAAGAAAATAACATTGATATTTGGGGTGCGGGGGGGTGCTGTATGTAAAAGGGTTTGAATAATTCGTCCATCTACTGTATCATATCACATAATATAGTTTAGTTTTAAGAAACAGGTATACTATTAAATAATATTACGTAATGTCATTCAATAAGCTATAGGGACTATAATGCAGTAAACCGAACTTAATACTGTACAATTTAAAGAGGATAATACAATGCAATAAAACATAATACAGTCAAATAAAATACAATGCAAAAAAACTATCTCAAAATATATTGTATGAAATAACGCAAGATAAAATGATCTAAATATGATTTTTATGAATTTTAGACATTTTAGCTGTTTTTAGTTTGAATGCACTATGTATGTACAATAAATGAAAAATAAGACCCCATGATTTTAAACAAATCAAGTAAATAAAATATTTTACAGATACTATACATAGTATGGAAAACATATATATACATCATATAAGCTAAATGTTGTTTGAGCTTTGCGTCATTTCTCATATATATATATATATTGTGTCTTCGGTTGCTATATTATATATACTATTTGCTTATTAAAATCATATATACAACGCACTATATACTATATAGATATGATATGTTCAATCTTTTTGTACGTGCCATATATTTCTTTGATATACGGTATATACAACGTTTTCCATGTTTTTCTATTTTAAGCATATATATATATACTTCAAGTTACAGATAATGTCCTCTGTATTTTTCTCATATTTACACAACCATGAATGATAGTCTCATGCGATTGGCGGTTCCTGCCCTGCCCCCACAAACCTTGCTAAACCAAAACACCTCCGGCTAGCAGTTTTTTTGTGCGAAATTCAGCATTCTACACCGATTCGACTGCACTTCCACAACTTGCTGGTCGAGAAGCTGCTTAACAATGACGTCCATCTGCTGATCCATTTTCCCCTTGGACCACGAGGTGCATGTGACCCATAAACCACTCCAGCGTGGCCCCTTGTTCGTGGGCTGCAACTCAGTGTTGTGGCATCATGCGCGAATTCAAACACATGTCTTCAAACAATATCACTAATATCACTATCACGACCTGTCCAGCGCTGACGCGTCCGTGTCAACCCTCCAAAGGTGTTGAACCTTTGAGGCTGCACCAAGGGTCTGCACGACGTAGAGCATCAAATGCAAAGCTCCAGGTGTTGGCCGCGCGCATCATGTCGCAGCCACCATCCCTGGTGAAGAATTGCGAAGCTTAGACGCTCAGTTTCCAACCTACGCTGGGGGAATTGAAAACCCAACAGCAGCAGGCCCAGAGTTTTTTCCAAAAAAACTGCTGCATACATTGATTGATTCTATCAACTCTATCCCAGGCACTTCCGAAAATCAATGTTGGTGGATCTTTTGGGACTCCACTTGTTTCCAAAGATCCTTAAATCTTGCCATGTCGCTCACACTCCAAAGCCGGTATCTTGGACACCTGTCGTGCCAACCAGGCATCCGGCAGCGCTGGAGGTGCACAGCCCTGGGCAGCATCGCTACCCTTCTTTTACCTGCTGGCTTACCTGTCTCTGAATCAACCATGGTTTTACCTATTGATGTTTTCACGTTTCCAAGCACTTGAAAGTTCCCAAGACAACGACTGCACCGCCCAGTAGGTGCCTTGTCACCTGAAGCAAAGCTCTCTGAAGTTTCTAAGCCACCAGCAGCTTTCCTGCGGCATTTTCGGCCCCAGAAATTTGCAGCAGTGGCATGTTGATGAATAGAGAAACGATAGACGCTGGACCACTAACCCCGAAAAATGTTTGAATCAAAACTAAAACTCGCTGCAAACGGTTAATTTTGCCTGCAACATCAACACTCCCTGCATCTTCAAAGCACACACCCAGCGCTGACCGCCTCAAGAAGCAGGAACCATCTCCAAAGGACCAGTGCGTACATTCCTGGCAGCCCCGCAGATAGTTGGTGAGGGCGCTTATTAGCGCTAAAAGAGCAAACCCATAGCCCAAGGAAGTTTAGAAGTCAAATTTCCGACAATATTGCCAGATGAAAAGCAGAGGTGGGAAGAGAAGAGAAGAGAAGAGAAGAGAAGAGAAGAGAAGAGAAGAGAAGAGAAGAGAAGAGACGAAGAAACAAGATCAGAGAAGAGAAAGAGTCGGAAGAAAGAAGATGCAGGTGCACGAAAAAGTAGAAAAGTCGCGAAACACTGTGTTTTCCCAATGCTTTGGGGCTCAGGAGGGTCGCAAAGTAGGCTCGCTAAAGCGGCGGGCGCGGAGCCATCTGGGGAGATGAGAGATGAAAAATTGCACGCCGTTGTGGCGTGAAGCACATTTCGAAGTCCAAATGCCAAAAACAACACAGGTTCGGACCACTTTTGGACGTTGAGATGTCGAAAAAGTGCACGGCATTGTGGCACGAAGCACATTTCGAAGTCAAAAGTGTTAAAAACTGACGGGTTCGATCACTTTTGGAAGTTGAGATGTTGAAAAAGTGCGCGCCATTGTGGCGCGAAGCACGTTTCGAAGTCAAAATGCTAAAAACACTGCAGGTCCGGACCACTTTTGGAAGTTGAGATGTTCATACGTTGTAGCGCGAAGCACATTTCCAAGCCAAAATGCGCAAAGCGCACCAGCTTTGGAGCACTTTTGGAAGTTGAGATGTTCAAAAAGTGCAGGCCGTTGCGGCGCGAAGCACATTTCGAAGTGAAAATGCTAAAACCAACACTGGTTCAGACCATGAAGCGTCGTTTTGTGTGGCAGGCGCAAGGGATTCTGCACCCTGCCAAAAGTGAGCAAAAGGTGAGGTGAGGGTTCTGTTGCAGTTTCAAAAACTTTGGCAGGGGTGGTGCAATTTGAAGAGGATCTGCACAAGGCGGTGCCCCATAGTTAGCTAAGTTGGCTTACAACTCCAATAACTACGGTTTATGGTAGGTATATCTATACTTACTATGGTTTATAAACCAACTTATAACTGGGGGGCACCACCTTGCAAAGATGCATTTCGCGTGGCAGGCGCGGCATGTTAGGAGGTCCGGGCGCAGATTTCCCGAAAGGGGTTGCATGTGGAGCGTCAGATGATCAGGTTTGCTCAGATGATTTTGCGTGACAGGTGCAGCACTTCGCATGACCTGGCCTCACTTTGTCGTGGGAGACAAATACTTCAGACACATGGACTGGAAAAATCACAAAGCGCATTCATGAGAGGCCGTCAGCTCTGCACTCAACTTTCCATTATTGACGGAAATCTCGCAGAATTGCTCTGTTTTTGACGGTGTCAAGTTCAAAAAATGAAGGGGTCTCGCAGGATAGCTTCGTTTTCAAGCCTGCAGATAGACAGATAGATGGATAGAAAGACAGAGAGATGGATAGATTTAGCTAGGTTCAAGATAGGTGGTAGAGGCCTTAAGTAAGATCCAAACTTGTCTGGTACGTACGGCTGGTAGGTTTGGTTTTCTTGGTACGGTACGGTTGGTACATGTGGTACGGTACGGTTGGTACGGTTGGTACGCTTAGTAAGGTACGTTTGGTACGCTTACCAACCGTACCGACCGTACCAGTGAACCGTACATAACCGTACCACCGTACCGTACCAGATTAAGGGGGGGGTCAAGGGGGGGGCGTTTTGGATGTACCAATACTAAAGTAGTATTGGTACATCCAAAACGCCCCCACCTTGACCCCCCCCCTTAATCTGGTACGGTACGGTGGTACGGTTATGTACGGTTCACTGGTACGGTCGGTACGGTCGGTACGGTTGGTAAGCGTACCAAACGTACCTTACTAAGCGTACCAAGCGTACCTACCCAAAGCGTACCAAGCGTACCAAGCGCACCAAGCGTACCGTACCAAGCGCACCAAGCGTACCAAGCGTAGCGTACCTATCTTATAGCTGGATATCAAGCACCTATCTTGAACTTAGATAAGGATAGATAGACAGACAGATAGATAGGCAGATAAAGAGATAAACAGATAGACAGCTAGACAGACAACTACACTACACTACATTACAACTACAGCTACCACTACACAACTACCACTACTACTTCAACTTCAGCTTCAACTTCAACTTCAACTTCAACTACATTACAGCTACAACTACCACTACACTACACTACACTACGCTATAACTACAACTACCACTACCACCACAGCTACAACTACAACTTCCAACTACAGTACAACTATACTACACTACTCTACGCTACAACTACCACTATACTACAACTACCACTATTACCACGGCTACAACTACAACTACAACTACAACTAAACTACAACTACAACCACGACTACAACTACGACTACGCTACACTACTCTACGCTACAACTACAACTGCAACCGCAACTGCAACTACAACTACATTGAACAACACTAGAACTACAGCTACAGCTACAGCTACACTTGCTACTACACTACAAGTACAGCTACAACTACAACCACCACTACACTACAACTACAGCTACAGCTACAACTACAACTACAAACTACACCACACCACACTACATTCAGCAGTTGCGGGCGAGGTGACCACTGCAGCCACTCCAAAAAGCACAACTGCAACCACCTTTCGGTCTGTCAGTGGATTTAATCTGCCATCCATGCATCACAACAATTCACCTCTCCTATAGCTGTCTCTCTCTGAAACTTCCGCCACCGCCTTGTGCGGTACTACTGGAATAACAACTGCACTTACAATGTTACAACTTCTCTACAAAAAAAAGCTCGCATTCTTTAAAACTGTTGATCTTATTAAATGCACATGCAGAAAAAATGCAGTAGAATATATGTTTTTCACAGTGTTTTTCTCAAGTCCCACTTGAAAAAAGTCTTCTTACCTTAGCCTTAATTGGTTGGGCGCAGTAGCTGGGACAACCAAGCCCCCAGATATCTGCCAACCCCAGCGGACGGCAAGGGGGAGCGCGTCAGAAGATACACGCAGCAAGCGCCGCCGCAAAAGGTAGAGAAAGAAGGAGCAAACTGCAAGAGAAAACAAGATCTAAAGTTTGGAGCGAGCAAGGAAGAAGAAGAGGCAAGAGGCAAGAGAGCCCAGAAAGCAACAAGAAGAAGAAGAAACCTGGAAGCAGAAGTTTTGGAGCTAGTAAGGCAAGAAGCGAGCAAGGAAGAAGCAGAAGAAGAAGCAGAAGAAGCATGAGGCAAGAGAAATAAGTAGACTCTTGTCAATTCAGAAGGTGACGTTAGGCACTGCCAGCTTAGATCTGGGAACGCCTTCCGGCCTTCAGTGGCATGGTGTTTTAAAGTGTGGCGAAGCCAACGTTGTGGAGGCCGGAGGGCTCGAGGGTTTGAGGGCTGCATTCTGGGCTGGAGCTATAGTTTCTTGTGAATTCAGAAGGTGACGTTAGGCACTGCCAGCTTTAGTCTGGGAACACCTTCTGGCCTTCAGCGGGCATGGCGATTCCCTTTCAGGTGGTCTTCTTGTACTTGATGTAGGTTCAGCATCCATGTTTGCCGACATGGCAGGAGGTGTGCCCCTGGTTTCCACAAGAACTCATCTGGGCAAAGCGGTTCTCAGTTCTTACAAAAAATCCTGCTAAGACAGAGACCCTCTTACATCAAAAAACATTAAAATACCAAATCTTAAAGTTGGCAACAGTTGATATAAAAGCTGATGCAACAGTTGAAACAAAAGTTCAAGGTTCCACAAAATGTTGAAACAAGAGTTCAAGGTTCCAAAAAAATGTTGAAACAAAAGCTCAAGGTTCCAAAAAAGCTGAAACAGAAGTTCACGAAAAAGTCGGGGTAGAACTACCGGGGTCAAAAAAAAAGGTTGGATCAAACATCGACAAAACATCAAAAAACATTTCAAAAAACATTTAAAAACTACATCAAGAAACATCAAAAAACATCAACAAACATCAACAAACATCGACAAAACCTCGACCAAACATCAAAAAACCTCGGCCAAACATCGGCTTGAGCCCCGCCACAAGCCATCAGTCGTTTTCCTGTTAGACATTCAAAATGTCATTTACCTTAGACTTTGCTTACCTAGAGTCCACATTGCCTTACAGTTTATTCACCTTAGGTATCCTTAGATGTCATTTCCCTTGGACTACACTTGCCTTCGTGGAATTTTGACCATCGATTGCCACGAATCCGAAGATAAAAAGCCCCCAGGAGGGGATCACCAAACGAGCCTTCACCTGCCAGCAGGCTCGCGCGCAAATGCCTGGGTCCTCGATGGACGGATTTGAAAAATCTTTGTGGCACCCTGCAATCGCATCTCATCGCATCTCCATATATCATTTCTTGCTGGCACATGTGGAATCACAGCCTCGGGACAAAGGTCCCCAGGATATCCCCGGATGTTGTCCTCACTGTGGAACTTGTCTGTATTCCTTGGGTTCCAGGAAGACAGGGCGCGTTTTGGCAGTCCAGCCTGGGCTGAGGAATGGACCTGCAATTGTTCTGCCAGCATCCAGTGTTCCCGAAGAAACCCAGATCCACGAAGATGCCATGAGCACCAGCATGTCGATAGACAATGCCTACCCGCAACCGGCACAAAAAAGGCACTGATGGGCACTGGAAATTCAACAAGTTCCAAGCTCCGTATCTGATATCTGTCGCATTTGGAGTTTCCCTCAAGACAAGTCGCCCGCTTCAATGCAGTCCTCAGACCGCAGGATTATAGATTAGGATCAAACAAAAGCTTCCTCTTGAGTCATGTGGAGAGACTCGCCACCAATCAAGTCCCCAAATGATAATTCTGAGGCTGTGCTTAGTGGTTTCTTCGTGATCAGTCCACAACACGTACGTTCCACTTGCCTGGAACGGTAGAAACACGTTTGTGCCAGCGCTGCTCAACCAAAATACAAAGTTAGCAGCAAAGCACTGGGATTGAGAACTGCCGCCAGAAGTAGGACATCGGAAAATCAGTGCGAAACCCAAAATCTTCAGAAACTGTATATTGGAGCACAAAATCTTCAGAGAAGGTTTCTGGGTACCTTTCATAATTTATAATTTGAGGACAAAAGCGAACTGCCACTTGCGGTGACGCTGCCATGGGCGTTTTTATGTTCTTTCATGGCTGATCATGGCACAGCTGTGTTTCTTTGCTGACAGAGTGCTGGGTAGACATAGGCTGCAGCCGGCTGCAAGCTGAGCAGCAAAAGCAGCTGCGACATCCATGACCAGAACAAACGTCAGCAAAAGCTGTGCTGAAGCTGTCAAGGTTTGGGAAACCAGATTTGCCACTGAGGATGTCGTAGTATTGCTGCCGACATGTGATTTGCATGCCATGCTTTTGGTGAACAAAGTCTGATTGGGTCTTTGCAACATTAAGGCCTGACCATCACCGGAACAGTTTTGGAAAAGATGACGTCAGGCATTCATGGATGCAGGATAACCACTGGCAAGCGAATAAGAACTGCTACCAGACAAATCTCCTCAAAAAAGCTCGAAAGCGATCTGCGGGCTTTGCACAGTGGCTGCTCCTGCAGTTACAAAACAGACCAGCAAATTATGAAATGGCCCTAGCCAGTTTCACACCAGCCGTCAAAACATGGTCAAGTAAAGTGTGAAAGGCTGCAAAGTGTGTGGCACAACGGGGCGTTCGTATGGGGCACTTCTCATCCCACTTTTGGTATTCTCCCGAATTCGTAAACTCAAGACAGCTGCAGCTTGGCTAGTTCCGATGTCTTTTTAGGTAATCCAAAATTCAGTAAATGCGCCCAAGGAAGATCTATATTTCTTTAGTGCAAGATACACTTGTGAATTGGCAACGGGATCGTGCAGTCCACGCAGCTTTTTCACTGCTGGCGTGAGCCGTACAGCTCAAGGGCCCTATCAGCCGAAACGGCAACAGACGTCTAATGTGACAACCTGGCCTATACATGGAATGTCAAATACCTCAAATTGACACTCAACATGTTCTACAGATGTCACATTGCACTCTTTACAGGCACGTCTGCGCAGGGCACTGCGGAGAAAGTAGCGCAGTGGCGTTTCTACTGCTTCTGTACTTTGTACATGCAATCTGCTAGCACGCGGATCAGAAAATCTGGTTTCATACTTTTCGTGAGACAATCACTGATCATAGTGCGGGTAGCTCGCCAAGATAGCTTGTCTCCTGATCATCGTTCCAATAGGATTTCGTGTATGCTCTCCAACTCAATGCCTAATCTCTTGTTGCTCGCTTTCGCGAGGATTTCGGAAGCTAGGTGATCCGAAAGAGAACAGCAGTCTGTGAATGCTAAGTGCGGCACACAGCTCCTGGCATCAACTTCCCACGTCTTCAAAGATCTGATCTGACCCTTGACTTCAGCCAAGACTCCTCTGAGCTTGTCTCCTGCCTCAAGATCATGCTGCAGTGAATACGTCTCAGCTTGAAGTGTGCTTCGACATACACGTCGGATCGTAGTAGAACTGAAAGATTAAGGCATTACCCTGTACGTGTTACAGTTCCCATTCTTGATCTCGGTGAGGTCTCCAAGGACATGACAGCGTCCTTGTTTCCACGGTAGCATTGTAGGCTGTCTTGTAGGAACCTTTACCACTTTGCGATCCCTTGGAACCTCCATACCCTTTACCAGGCTTCCCATACGATTGTGGGGTGAAAGTGTGACCATTCCAAGACTTGGACCCCCTCCCTCAAATGGATTCCTGCGTACTGGTCAACCAACACCTTGGCAACTCCTTCGAAGTCCTTGGTAGCGGCACAAGCTTTTACGACCAATACCTCTTGCCGGCTCAAACCTGACAGTTCAAGCATGAGTTCCATTCGGAGTCCATCGGAGAGTGCCATGGAAGGATCAAGCTCGGTCAGCACTCTCCACCACCTACGCCTACGCTGGGTATAGCTCAGCATGGGCTCTTGCGGTTGTCTGGATAGGACCCCACCTGCCTTTTGGCCTGCCCTGAAAAGTTCTTTAATCCTCTTGTGCTCTGGGGAAAACATGGCTTTTGATTCGTTCAACCAAATGTTCAAGTCCTCCCTCCTGGGTCAGGGTCTCCAAACAGAGATCCCTGGCTATGACGAAGGCCCTCTACAATCTTGTTGACTAAGGCACTTCTGTCTCGGCCAGTGTCATCCCCTTTAGGGCTTGGACCAGCAGAGGCGGGAGCTCCGTCGTCTCGGTGGCCTGGGCGCGGGTGAGGTGAGATTCCAGCTTCAACTTCAGAGTCCGGCCCATTGGGCTCGGAACTCCTTCCGGTTGGGGATGATTCTACGTCTTTCTTAGAATCAAACAGATTTATCCGTAAAAGGGTCCGGAATTCCCAATCATGATAGTGCATCATGATAGTGCGCTGCATCCCCATGATATATGTATGATTCATGATCCACTCTTGGTCTCTAAAGGCGCGGTGGATCGGTCAGAGCCAAACCTAAGTCCAGCTACCGACATTTCGACGATTCTTGAGATGGACTGCCTGTCCCAAGGTCAGCCAATTGCAGGTCTGTCCCACAGGGATCAGACGATTTCGGAGAATGAAAAGTTCTATAGGAACAATTCAAGATTTTAACGGTCTAGTCCCTGGATCTAACACGTACCCCGGAGACAGGTCGTGTCACCTGCTCCGCTACCAATGTGAATTGGCAACGGGATCGTGCAGTCCACGCAGCTTTTTCACTGTTGGCGTGCGCCGTACAGCTCAAGGGCCCTATTAGCCGAAACGGCAAAAGACGTCTAATGTGAGAACCTGGCCTATACATGGAATGTCAAATACCTCAAATTGACACTCTTGATCTCGCAACCAGACACTTTTTGAGACGTCGGTCCTGCAGCGCCAGTGGAAGGTCCGGTTGCTTCAAACACCTATGTGCCCTACACCTGGGGCATGGAGGGTTTGAACGGACCAAGTCCTGATTCTGTGCACTTTGAAAAGGAAGCTGGTCAACGCCAAAACAAAACCATACAGAACCAAATGTTGTTCAACTGCGAAACACAATTGACATCAAGGCATGACGTTCTCACCACATCAGGAAACCTGAAAGGCTACGGCAGAGCCAAAAGAAAGCAAACACATCCCCTTTCACAGCACTTTAAAACTGCCTCGCCTGGGGAAGTCGAGGGACCCTGGCAACACACAAGTTCACGGCTCTCGGTTCACTTGCATTCTGTTGGACCCGTCATTTTGTGTAATAGCCGAGGAAAACCGCGAGACTGGGGGGGAAGTCACCCGCAAGTGCATCACAAAGGGTACTAGATGGGTTGTTCCGAAGACATGCACCAAATGTCACGTGTTCGCGCTGCAGCGAAAAATATTGGAATGCGTAGATATCACTCAGTCTGAAGTAAAATTCTATCACGGAATCATATATCTTTACATTGTCTTCCTACCCCTATCCCGCCGGGTGCGGGCAGACTTAGTCGCGAAGAGGGGCAAGAAAGGACACAGGAGCAAAGGCAAAATAAACGGAAACAAAAGGAAAGCCAAAAAAAGATCCAAAGCGAGCCAAAAGAGACACAAGTGAGCAGAAGAGGGACAGAAGGTACGGGGCGAGAATAAAGAGAAAAGAAAGGAGATAAAGATGACATATGTGACATGCACTGCAAGGGTGACATGTGACATGTTGCCAGGTTGCGTGTGAAAAGACTGTTTAAGTGGGTCGAGAAGGGATGAACCAAAAAGGAATATGATGGAATACGTATCAAATGTACAAAATGTATACAAAATGTATTAAATTGTTGGATTGGAATATATTGGAATCATGTTTTTCACATGGGGTTGCGCCGATCTGAGCAAAAGTCCGCCGCGTGCATTGAAACATCGTCGTGTGATGTTGTGTGCAATAATGCAGTCGCATATGGTCCGATGGAAAATTGGACGTGACGAAAGAGTGGTCGCCAGATGCTGTCTTGTAATTCTCTTTGGCTATGTAGGTGAATTGTTCTCCATATGCACTCATAATCTGAGAACATGTATATAACATTATATAACATGACTTTCAATGCGGTACTTGTGATGCAGCAAATATATTTGTGCCTGAAAGCACACAGGCTCAAATCCCGGTGGTGACCCATCAATCTCTTCTAAGCACCCCTGTCACCACCGCGATTTAAGCCCGTGCTCTTTCCCCAAAGTAAAGAATCCCTTCATTACAGCCGAAACTCATCCGAAGCATTCTCCTATTCCAAAGGGTACTGAAGCACAGAGAAGATGCCGATGATGAAAAGGAATCTATCCACGATCAAAGTCTGACAACATGCCAATCACATGGATCTGTGCTCACCTTGGATGCCGGGGTGCACAATTCCAGAAGAATCTTGGCTCCACCTCCAGAACGAAACGAGACAAACGAGAAAAATGATAACAGCAAGGCCACACAGAGCGCACAGTCACAGCCTCTCCAAGACTTGCGCGTGTCGCATCATGGGTCTGCTACCTGCCGTCACGAACAACTCAGTGGGTCGCAAACATGCCATGAAAGTTACGTCGAATCACTGAATGGCCTCTTAGATGTTGGAATATGTTGGAATTCCGTAGCTGGTTGTTACAGTTTCCAAGCAGTTTCTTCAGCGAAGCCCTGCGGTCACCCGGCCTTCAGCTGGAAGCTGAAGATAAAGATCCCGGCCCACCCCAGGTGAAATGGTGCGTGGATAAAAAATGATGATAAAGATCAATAAAGAATTAAGAAATATATAATATAGAAGTTGTTTTTCAAAAAATGGATTCTGTTCAAGCGTTGCAGATCGGCATAGACCCTTCCCGTTCTGAGACTGGCAAAATGCTGCTTATTGAAGGTTTTGCTGGTTGGCTCATGTCTACTCTCGGCCATTGGCTCAACCTCACCATACTGGGGGGCAACAAAATACAACAAGTGCGTTGATGAAGCATCGCTTTTCTCATGCAGCAGAGTCTTTGTGCTTGCTCGAAGATGACTCTGGGTCGTGTCAACTTTCTTCATCTGCCCTGATAGTGATTGTGGGCCCATTGGGCCCAAGTGTCACGATCCAGAGCCAGTGGCAGCCCGCAGATTGCACCACCACCCAACTTCTGGCTTTGCCGAGTCTGGGCTCCGGAATTCCCGGTTCAGTGGATGTTATGCAAATCCTGGGCTTGAGACAGTGTGGAATGTTCGGCACTGTTTGCTACAGAATTCAGCTCAGATATGAGCTCCAGCTTCAAAAGATTATGTTGGTATGAGATGTTGAGATGCCATGTTGGCAGGTTCATATTCCTAGTCATGCTAACATAATCTTCATCGAATGATCTCTGAAAGGTTAGGTACCGGATCTGCCCGGTTCAGGCTCAGAACCTCAGTATATTTCGCCGCCTGAGTCCTGGATGTCCTGGACGAGACAGATTCAACATTCCAAAAGGTTTCCAAAGTCCGGAAACGAGCGACAAAAGGTTTCCTGTCCATGCTCAACGCATCAACCTGCCTTATATACGCGTCTCTTTCAGTGCCGGATTCGAGGAAATGATGCGAGAAGGCACTTCTTGCAGCTTTGTGCAACCCGCCAGCCTCGAAATGTGCCAAAGATCATTGAAAGTCTTACAAACCAGACTAACTAGACTTAAACTTCTCCAGCTTGTCAGGCTCGATAGAGATTTGTCGGCCTGAAAGTGCACTCCAGCTCATCATGCAGCATACGCAACATTCCTTGGCTCAGTTTCACTGGTCCCAAAACAGCTGTCTCAGCTCTCCACCAGAAATGGACAAATCCACAATGCTGGCTGAGCGTCTGGAAACGCCATGTTCTCCGCCCACAGCTAGTGCAAACACTGCTGGACCTGCAAATCACCGAAGATTCCCAGAAAATGGAACGGACCAAACTTCCATAGACAAAAAGCTCCTATTCTTGGCTACCTGCGGGTATCTCTGGGAATTCTTCAGAAACATCCCAGTCTGCCCTCCAAGGTTCCCACGAGCCAACATCACTGCGCTGGCTCCAAGCCTGCACAAGGTGCTAATGCGTCTGATACATCTGGAGGGAAACCAAATGGGATGGCGAATACCAAAAAGAAAGTGCGTTCGGATGAAGCTTTGATATACAGTGACATGCCGACATGCAGTGATATACCTTTGCCATCCTTTGCCCAATTTTGGTGCAAAGTGAGCCCAAAAGACAAACAACCCGGCGGTTTCCCAACCAGGTCAAATGCACTGAGCACCCGAGCCCCAAAGCTTTGAAGACATCGGTGCCACGACGAATCCCACCATCCAGGAAAATCGGAATCTGCAAGCAAAAGACTCAATCACAGATATCTGCAAGAGTTTCAAAGAGAGATGCCTTTTGGGTTCTTCGTTCTTTGCTATGTCAAGTGACGGTGCTGCGTTTGTGGTTCATGTTCCAACTAGATCCAATACGTTTCATGGTGGCTGTGGAGTGGTGTATGGTAGCATGTGTCGAGCAATGGCAAGGCAACCGCATTGCCCGAGAATCCACGAAAAAACTCATATCATGGTCTTGTGGGAACTGATGGGTCACAGCCAACGCAAGGGTAGTTGTACCCTGTTGTAGCCAATGCTGAATGGGTTGTCCACCCGTTTCTAGCTATTTTGCGGAAGCTTAGGCTCATGGTCAAAGTGACTAAACATTCCAAATGCAACATGCCCAGACCTGATAACGACGCTTTCCCCACACAGGCCTCCCCTGCCACTTCCTCCGCAATAGCTGGCAGGACATCAATGGTGGCAGGTGTACTATCCAACTGTCGGCCTCAGGTTGTGGCAAGCATCAGTCGCATCTGCGGTTCAACAGCCCCTTGACCCGAAATCGAGTCTACCCGTCTACCCCAACATCCGTCTGCAAACTGTCCTCCGAAATCCTGATGGAGAAACGAGAAACGAGTTTGGAAAAAGCCCCAACCATATACGACCATAAGATCCACAAGCCATGCCAGCTATGGGGTGCCCCTTCCCTAAGCACCTCCATGGTTTGAGACGACCTCAGCAACAGTACCCAGACGTACCCAATTCAAATTTTCAACAACGGTAAGCAGTGCTATCGTTTCAAGACACGTGAGCATCTTCGGATCTCACGGATGAAATGGATCAAAGGATACTCGACACCACATGCCGACATGCCAAGTGTTTCTGTTTGTGTTTCCTCGTTTCTCGGGACCCGGCAATGGCCGCTGCACCCACATCAATGGCGCAACGAGCATCCAGTGGATGTAGGATGCCCTGCAGCAGCGCGTGCTGTGAGTTTTTTCTTGGCAAAGCAGTCATGATTCTCCCCACAGCTGTTTCAACATCAGGCAGTGCTGTAAGGGACGATTACAGATCATTACAGAATGCAAATGTGCTGCTTTGGTTTAACTCGGTTTAAGGCTTTGAAATATTCGAAATCCACGGGACCTTCGCAATGATTGGCAGATTGCAGATTGTTTTCAGCCAAGTGATGATGCTCCAGTCCAGCGTCAGGTCCTGGAGAGCGCACTCCCAAACACCAGTCATGCGTCATGCGTTACATCCAAGAGAAGGCTAAGTTCGGAAATAAATGCTAATAATTAGCTGCTAATAACTAAATTAGTTATTCGATGTTATTAGATGTTAGATGTTATTAGATGTTATTAGCATTTATTTCCGCCGAAGTTGGCCTTCTTTTGGATGTAAAATCACATAATGATAAATAATAATAACATATCATAGCCTGAAAGGCGCAAGTGAAAGCTGATGGAAACACCAACAGCAACCAAACCCGATGATCCCAACACACAAACCCCTGCCACTACAGGCCCCCGCTGCGGTCCTTTTGCGCTTCGAACTCCACCAGCCTTTTACAGAGGGCCCAGTCGGCACTGATGTTGCTGTGTCATCATCTTGCCATGTTACCATGTTGTCATGTTATCATGTTTCCATGCATCAATATCAAATATTTCAAATCAACATGAAATCAATGTGCCTGGTGTCTTGAAGCACGTAAGCCATTGTGTGTAAAGTGCATGTGCGGAAGTGAACGTCCTAATTGTGTGTGTGTGTCTGTGTGTGTTGCATGCCAAAAAAACACAGCAACTCTGGAAAAACATGTGCGGCCATGGTACTGCTGATTCACCACATCACCCAACATCTGAATGTTGGGAAGCTGACCCATGCCGTCCGACACCGCAAAGCCTTGAAGAACAAAACAACCCAAGGAAAGCAAAGAAAAACTTTGCTTAGGCATGGACAGGAAAAAACATTCAAGAGCAACAGCAAAAGCAAAAACAACAGCAGCAGCAGCTGCTAGCAACTAGCAGGCAGCACCAAACAGCAATCAATAACTTTCCAAAACACCTTGGAAATCTGGAAACATCGTTGAACACCCAAAAGGGATTCGAATGGTGAAGGGTGTGTCTGAAAATGGGGCATATCCCAGAATTGCTAATCACTGGAGTTGAGCTCCATTTTTGTTAGACAAACCTGCAGCGGTCACAATGGATAAATAATCACCGCGCCACATCGTTACCACTGAAAGCTACGACATCAAGGGCACCAGCAAAGCCACACGCACATATACACACCCACATAATAGACACGTCACTTGATGTCAATATGCTCCCGTCTTATTATCATTGACATATTGCCATCGGAATAGAAATAAGCTTCGGTGGTATCCCCAAAAGCCGCAGCATTTTATTTTTACAAATCTTTCTGAAACGTGCTGCGAAGACAAGCGCTGGAAACACCTCAGCTGGGTTTCCGTGAGTTAAATGGCCACAAACCCTGTTGAACCTAACCTGGCTCTGCACCAAAGGCTCCCACACCTTCTCTGGAACCTTCTCCGGAACCCTCTTGAACTTGACCTGGCTCTGCCCCGAAGCCCCCCACACCTTTTCCAGAACCTTCTCCGGAACCTTGTTGAACCTAACCTGGTTCTGCACCAAAGCCTCCCACACCTTGTCCGGAACCTTCTCCGGAACCTTCTCCGGAACCCTCTTGAACCTGACATGGCTCTGCACCAAAGCCTCCCACACCTTCTCTGGAACCTTCTTCTGAACCCTGTTGAACCTGACCTGGCTCTGCACCAAAGCCTCCCGTAACCTTCTCTGGCTCTGCACCCAAGCCTCCCAGACCTTCTCCGGAACCTTCTCCGGAACCCTGTTGAACGTGACCCGGCTCTGCACCAAAGCTTCCCAAGAACCTTTTCTGGAACCTTCGGAACCTTCTCCCAAACTTCGTTGAACCTGACCCGGTGCCTGCACCAGCGCACACCGGAGCTATTCTGGGCTGAAGACCCCATTAGCTTACGCTGTTGGGGAAAAAGGGAGCGACTGAACATATTTGCCCGAAACCACAGAAATTTCCATCCCTGCCATTCAGCACTCATTTCAGTGCAAGTTACCGCTGCGAAGATCTCGCTCCCGTCGACCAGTGACTGGTGCATCCACCTCAGATGAAGGCAACGACAAAAGATTCAATGAATTTCAATGATGTCCTTAGGAGTCCTTGCGCAAAAAAAACAGACACTTTGGATCAGTTTGGCACAATTTCCCAAGAATGGCCAGTCCCGTGGATTAATCGACACATCGACACCATGTCGTGAGCGTCCCAGGAGTCGTTTGATAGTTTCATGGGCCACGGTGGATTTTTGCACCTAGATCCTGTCATGTCTATAAGCGAGTGTGTCCTGTGCAGGCACCTGAGTATGGTATCCAGAAACGAGCCTGGAAAACCAGCCTTGATGTGGGGGTAGTGGCAGCTTGTATAAAGAAGGCAGCTTATATAAAGAACAAAATCAAACAAGTTCAGCATGAGCGTCAAAACGTGTGATTCGCCTTTCATCGTCTGCCTTCTTGTCCTGTGCATTGAGTCCAAGTCTCTGTCAGGCACAGTGCCTTATATCCCAGTCGTTCCGCTTTTCGAACGATGGCCTGCGGTGTCATGGCTCTGCAGCTTCGGCAGTCTGATCTGCTTCGCTGCTACAAACCCTTTGCCGCTTTGCCCCACCTCTGTGATATCCCTTCGCTTGAACACATACAGCCTCAGCACAAAAATGACGGAGTCTTGAAAATCTTTGTGACCAACTTGTGGTTATTTGATGTTATTTGCTAATAGGCGCATGTTCCTTCTTTCTTTTTGCACGCCAAGCTACTGAAAGATCAATCCTCGCAGGGAAAAGAAGGTCACATGGATTCAGCGATTTGACAAACAATCTTCTTCAGTTTTCTGTTGAGGAGTGTTCTAACTTTTCCAAAGCAAGACAGCAGCTTGTGCCTTTGGGCATGCCATCGGTATCTGTGGGAACTGCTCCTGCAACGTCCTGGCAAAATCGAAGATCGAAACAATGCCTGGACCCACTACCGAGCAAAGCTATATGTCAACTTTCCTTTCTGCTTCATGAAGCAGTCTCCAATTAGAAGTCATCTTTCAGCAACTCAATATCCTTTCTGAACATCTCTAGTTTTATTTACATTCCCCACCCCCAACATCTCTTTACATCCCCAACTCATCCCAACTCATCCCAACTCGTCACCCCAGGGAAGCCGCCTCCATGGACATCGTCCCCAAGGACGACAACGTAAAAGCGGAGCCTGCCCGCACAGCCGCGCGCGCTGTGGCCTTCTCGGCGTCCGAATGCGCCTGGAATCGCTGATCGCTGGACACCACTGGATGATCACTGAAAAGATGTGAAAAGAGATGAAAAGAAATGAAAATATAATAAAAATACATTAAAAGACATAGAAAAAAATATGAAAATATATGAAAAGATATGACAAGATATGAAAAGATATGGAAAAATATAAAAGAGATGAAAAGAGATGAAAAGATATGAAAAGGTATGAAAATATAATAAAAATACATTAAAAGACATAAAAAAAAATATGAAAAGATATGAAAAGATATGAAAAGATATGAAAAGATATGAAAAAATATAAAAGAGATGAAAAGAGATGAAAAGAAATGAAAATATAATAAAAATACATTAAAAGACTTTTAAAAAAATATGAAAATATATGAAAAGATATGACAAGATATGAAAAGATATGGAAAAATATAAAAGAGATGAAAAGAGAAGAAAAGAAAAGAAAAGGTATGAAAATATAATAAAAATACATGAAAAGACATAAAAAAATATGAAAAGATATGAAAAGATATGAAAAAATATAAAAGAGATGAAAAGAGATGAAACGGTATGAAAATATAATAAAAATCCATGAAAAGACATAAAAAAAATATGAAAAGATATGAAAAGATATGAAAAGAGATGAAAAGATATGAAAAGAGATGAAAAGGTATGAAAATAATAAAAATACATTAAAAGACATTTAAAAAAATATGAAAAGATATGAAAAGATATGAAAAGATATGAAAGATATGAAAAAATATGAAAAGAGATGAAAAGATATGAAAAGAGATGAAAAGATATGAAAAGATATGGAAAGATATGAAAGATATGAAAAGATATCAAAAGATATGAAAAAATATGAACAAATATGGAAAAATGATAAGATATAAAAAAAATATGAAAAGATAGGAAAACATATGAAAAAATATAAAAGAGATGAAAAGAGATGAAAAGATATGAAAAGGAATGAAAAGATATGACAAGATATGAAAAGATATGAAAAAATATAAAAGAGATGAAAAGAGATGAAAAGGTATGAAAATAATAAAAATACATTAAAAGACATAAACAAATATGAAAAGATATGAAAAGATATGAAAAGATATGAAAAGATATCAAAAGATATGAAAAAATATGAAAAAATATAAAAGAGATGAAAAGATCTGAAAAGATATGAAAAGGTATGAAAATATAATAAAAATACATTAAAAGACAAAAAAAATATGAAAAGATATGAAAAGATATGAAAAGATATGAAAAGATATGAAAAAATATAAAAGAGATGAAAAGAGATGAAAAGATATGAAAAGAGATGAAAAGATATGAAAAGGTATGAAAATATAATAAAAATACATTAAAAGACATAAAAAAATATGAAAAGATATGAAAAGATATGAAAAGATATGAAAAAAGATGAAAAGAGATGAAAAGATATGAAAAAAGATGAAAAGATATGAAAAGAGATGAAAAGATATGGAAAGAGATGAAAAGATATGAAAAAAGATGAAAAGATATGAAAAGAGATGAAAAGAGATGAAAAGAGATGAAAAGAGATGGAAAGATATGAAAAGATATGAAAATAGATATGAAAAGATATGAAAAAAGATGAAAAGATATGAAAAGAGATGAAAAAATATGGAAAGAGATGAAAAGATATGAAAAGAGATGAAAAGATATGACAAGAGATGAAAAGATATGAAAAAAGATGAGAAGAGATGAATAGAGATGAAAAGAGCTGAAAAAATATGAAAAAGATGCAAAAATATAAAAGATGTGAAAAGAGATGAAAAGATATGAAAAAATATAAAAGAGATGAAAAGATCTGAAAAGATATGAAAAGGTATGAAAATATAATAAAAATACATTAAAAGACATAAAAAAATATGAAAAGATATGAAAAGATATGAAAAAAGATGAAAAGAGATGAAAAGATATGAAAAAAGATGAAAAGATATGAAAAGAGATGAAAAGATATGGAAAGAGATGAAAAGATATGAAAAAAGATGAAAAGATATGAAAAGAGATGAAAAGAGATGAAAAGAGATGAAAAGAGATGGAAAGATATGAAAAGATATGAAAATAGATATGAGAAGATATGAAAAAAGATGAAAATATATGAAAAGAGATGAAAAGATATGGAAAGAGATGAAAAGATATGAAAAAAGATGAAAAGATGTGACAAGAGATGAAAAGATATGAAAATCTATGAAAAAATATGAAAAGAGATGAAAAGATATGAAAAGATATGAAAAGATATGAAAAAAGATGAAACGATATGAAAAGAGATGAAAAAATATGAAAAGAGATGAAAAGATATGAAAAGATATGAAAAGATATGAAAAAAGATGAAACGATATGAAAAGAGATGAAAAGAGATGAATAGAGATGAAAAGAGCTGAAAAAATATGAAAAAAATGCAAAAATATAAAAGATGTGAAAAGAGATGAAAAGAGATGGAAAGATATGAAAAGATATGAAAAAAGATGAAAAGATATGAAAAGAGATGAAAAGATATGAAAAAAGATGAAAAGATATGAAAAGATATGAAAAATATGAAAAGAGATGAAAAGATATGAAAAGAGATGAAAAGATATGAAAAGATATGGAAAGATATGAAAGATATGAAAAGATATCAAAAGATATGAAAAAATATGAACAAATATGGAAAAATGATAAGATATAAAAAAAATATGAAAAGATAGGAAAACATATGAAAAAATATAAAAGAGATGAAAAGAGATGAAAAGAGATGAAAAGATATGAAAAGGAATGAAAATATAATAAAAATACATTAAAAGACATAAAAAAATATGAAAAGATATGAAAAGATATGAAAAGATATGAAAAGATATGAAAAGATATGAAAAAGATGAAAAGAGATGAAAAGATATGAAAAAAAAGAAAAGATATGAAAAGAGATGAAAAGATATGAAAAAAGATGAAACGATATGAAAAGAGATGAAAAGATATTAAAAAAAGATGAAAATATATGAAAAGTTATGAACAGATATGAAAAGATATGAAAAAATGAAAAGATATGAAAAGAGATGAAAAGATATGAAAAAAGATGAAAAGATATGAAAAGAGATGAAAAGATATGAACAGATATGAAAAGAGATGAAAAGAGCTGAAAAAATTTGAAAAAAATCTGAAAAAATAAAAAAAAGATGAAAAGACATGAAAAAAATCTGGAAAAATTAAAAAAAAAAAGATGAAAAGACATGAAAAAAGATGAAAAGATATGAAAAGAGATGAAATGATATAAAAAGATATGAAAAGATATGCAAAGAGATGAAAAGAGATGAAAAGATATGAAAAAATATGAAAAAATATGAAAAGAGATGAAAAGATATGAAAAGATATGAAAAGATATGAAAAAAGATGAACAGATATGAAAAGAGATGAATAGAGATGAAAAGAGCTGAAAAAATATGAAAAAAAATGCAAAAATATAAAAGAGATGAAAAGAGATGAAAAGAGATGGAAAGATATGAAAAGATATGAAAATAGATATGGAAAGATATGAAAAGGTATGAAAATATATGAAAAAAGATTAAAAAAAATATGAAAAGATATGATAAGAGATATGAAAAGAGATGAAAAGATATAAAAAGATATGAAAAAATATGAAAAGATATGAAAAGAGATGAAAAGAGATGAATAGAGATGAAAAGAGCTGAAAAAATATGAAAAAATATGAAAAATTCAAAAAAAAGATGAAAAGACATGAAAAAAGATGAAAAGATATGAAAATATATGAAAAGATATGAAAAGATATGAAAAGAGATGAAAAGAGATGAAAAGATATGAAAAGATATGAAAAGATATGGAAAGATATGAAAGGTATGAAAAGATATAAAAAGATATGAAAATATATGAACAAATATGGAAAACTATAAAAGAGATGAAAAGAGATGAAAAGATATGGAAAAATAAAAAAGAGATGAAAAGAGATGAAAACAAATGAATAGAGATGAAAAGAGCTGAAAAAATATGAACAAATATGGAAAATACAAAAGAGATGAAAAGAGATGAAAAGATATGAAAAAAGATGAAAAGATATGAAAAGAGATGAAAAGAGATGAAAAGATATGAAAAGAGATGAAAAGATATGAAGAGAGATGAAAAGAGATAAAAAGATCTGAAAAGAGATGAAAAGATATGAAAAGGTCTGAAAAGATCTGAAAAGATCTGAAAAGATCTGAAAAGAGATGAAAAGATATGAAAAGATATGAAAAAATATAAAAAAAGATGAAAAGAGATGAAAAGGTATGAAAATATAATAAAAATACATTAAAAGACATAAAAAAAAAATATGAAAAGATATGAAAAGATATGAAAAGATAACAAAAAGACATTAAAAGACATGAAAAAAGATGAAAAGAAATGAAAAGATATGAAAAGATATGAAAAGAAATGAAAAAGATGAAAAGATATGAAAAGAGATGAAAAGAGATGAAAAGAGATGAAAAGATATGAAAAGATATGGTATGATATGAAAGATATGAAAAGAGATGAAAACAAATGAAAAGATATGAAAAGAGATGAAAAGATATGGAATGATATGAAAAGAAATGAAAATTGAAAAGATACAAAAAGATATGAAAAGATATGAAAAAAGATGAAAAGAGATGAAAAGATATGAAAAAATGTAAAAGAGATGAAAAGAGATGAAAAGATATGAAAAGGTATGAAAATATAATAAAAATACATTAAAAGACATAAAAAAAATATGAAAAGATATGAAAAAATATGAAAAGATATGAAAAGATATGAAAAGAGATGAAAAGATATGAAAAGAGATGAAAACGGATAAAAAGATATGAAAAGATATGAAAAGATTTGAAAATATATGAAAAAAGATGAAAAGACATGAAAAAAGATGAAAAGATATGAAAAGATATGAAAAGATATGAAAAGAGATGAAAAGATATGAAAAGATATGGAAAGATATGGAAAGATATGAAAGATATGAAAAGATATAAAAAGATATGAAAAGAGATGAAAACAAATCAAAAGATATGGAAAAATATGGGAAAAAGGAAAAGATATAAAAAGCTATGAAAAGATATGAAAAGGTTTGAAAAGATATGAAAACATATGAAAAAATATCAAAGAGATGAAAAGAGATGAAAAGATATGAAAAGATAACAAAAAGACATTAAAAGAAATGAAAAGAGATGAAAAGGTATGAAAATATAATAAAAATACATTAAAAGACATAAAAAAAAATATGAAAAGATATGAAAAGAGATGAAAAGATATGAAAAGATATGGAATGATATGAAAGATATGAAAAGAGATGAAAACAAATCAAAATATATGAAAAAATATGGGGAAAATGAAAAGATATAAAAAGCTATGAAAAGATATGAAAAGTTATGAAAAGATATGAAAACATGTGAAAAAATATCAAAGAGATGAAAAGATATGAAAAGATATGAAAAGATATGAAAAAAGATGAAAAGATATGAAAAGATATGAAAAGAGATTTGAAAAGAGATGAAAAGATATGAAAAGATATGAAAAGATATGGAAAGATATGAAAAGAGATGAAAAGAGATGAAAAGATCTGAAAAGAGATGAAAAGATATGAAAAGGTCTGAAAAGATCTGAAAAGAGATGAAAAGAGATGAAAAGAGATGAAAAAAGATGAAAAGCTATGAAAAGATATGCAAAGAGATGAAAACAAATGAAAAGATATGAAAAGATATACTGTAGAACGATATGAAAAGAGCTGAAAAAATATGAAAAAATATGAAAATATGTGAAAAGAGATGAAAAGACATGAAAAGATATGAAAAGGAAAGATATAAAAAGATATGAAACGATATGAAAAGATATGGAAAGATATAGACAAATATGAAAAGATATGAAAAGTAGCAAAATGGCTCGGATAGGATTTTGATTTCAGCTGAAGTTAAGTTTGAAGATTGTTGAAGAAATCAGGGAAACTATCTCATTGAACTCAAGAGAACCTGGAACCTCATGATGTTTTGGAACCCAACACAAAAAAAAGGAGTTGGATGTCTGCCAAAACAAGCGTATAAATAAAGAAATATGCATGTGTACATATATATATATGTATATAAGTGTGTGTGTGTGATTATATTTCTCTTTTTCAAGGTTGTATAGTCCTTGATATATACAAAAGCGATGTCTAATTGTAAAAAGGTCCTATGTTCCTTCAACTGTGTCCTTTTTGTCAAAACCCAAATATTATTTTCAAGCAAAAGGTTAAATATGTTCCAAAGCAAACAGTGAACATTCAAAACTGTTGTATTCCTTTGTGATGTTGCATTACTTTGTGAACGCAATGTTCGTGCGAAATATCCACTTCCTTTTTAGTAAATGTTGTGTTTCTTTCAACAAGGCAAGTATTTGGTTGAACCCATGCCATGATTGTTGAACAAATGTAATTGTCTTTCGTCAGCTTTGTTCAAGAAAAAATCATTGTTCAAAGGATGCAGCATGTGTTGAAAACATACTGTAAAGTTTTTCAATGATGCAGCATTACTTGAAAGAGACTTTTTTCACCTTCACGATGCAGACGCTGCTGGAAAAAGAAAAAATGTGTCCTCTGTCAAAAACGTTTTTTTGATATAATGTACGCAGGACTCCGTTCAAAGAACTAAATACATATCTATATTATAATACATATATATATATATATCATATATACATATGGGAGTGGGATCGGAGAGTTGTAGGATTGGAATCTATGTAGGTCGGATCGGACTTGTGGACCATCCCCACCGCCTCCCGAATTCTGACGCTGATCAGGTTCATCTCAAATTAGGCTGATTCCACTCGATAGATTAGGTTCTGACATGGAATTTACTCAAATACATAGTTAGTTTTACATTTATTTTCATAGTTGCTCATATACATATATATATATATATGTATATATATGTATATATAGGCTCGTCCCAGGTCCTGGAACCACATACGTTGGGTTTGGGGTTGTGGGATGGGGTGGGATGTTAACGTTCATGTGAACTTGCAGAAGCAGTTGATGCTACGCACACGCGGGGTGGGGGGGGGATGGGGTGGGATGTTAACGATGTTAACGTTCATGTGAACTTGCAGAAGCAGTTGATGCTACGCTCACGAGGACTGGGACAATATATATATATATTTGAATATACTTACAGAATTCTTTAGATATCTATATATATATATTCATCATTTTTCAATATATATATCTATATATATATATTTGAACTTACATATGTGTATGATGATGATGATGATGATGATGACGAAATGTTGTCACGGAATTGACAAGTTTTACCAACCTAATTCAGGTTTGCGCGGTTCCAAGGCCTGGGACGAGGCTATATATACATATGTATATGTATACATATATATATATAAGGGTTCCTGGAAGCTCCGGGGAACCCCCAGCCTTGAGCCTATACATATATATATTAATATACATATATATATATTTATTTATACTCCTTTCAAAAGCACAGCGTTTCCGGAACCAAGATTTGCAGCGTTTCTCAATTTTCACCACCTCAAATCTAAGCCGCAAACATATGAAAAAGGTCGGTCTTTGGGAGTGATAGATATGTTAATATGTGATGCGGACATATCTATATATATATAAATATACACTACACATATCAATAATCATCTACAAATATGTATATATGTATATATATATATGCATAGTGTCGAGCTACGCAATGAGCTATCTATGGCTATGTCCACAGTGGCTATCAGCATATCATCCTGATTTCCCCTTCTTTGCAGCCGCAATCCCGATGCCTGTCCATGCATGGCAGATGGCGCTATCATCACTGGAAAGCGCAGATTGATGCCAAAAAAGGTGCAGCGCATGTTGACGGCCCTTAGCATGTGAGCAAATAGCACTATCATTGCAACATGATCTGCTGGGAATGGTTCAATCATAGGACTCCTGTATCGATGGCTGCACTTCCTAGCGCACCATGATGCTAGCTCTCATATAGGAAAAATAGCGTTGTTGTCAGTCTAGAATGACATTGAATCACTTGATTGAGTATTGTCTTGGCCACCAGGTGCTTCAAGTCTTTGAGCTTTGCAGACCTGAGGAACTTACGAAACATTCAGCATGACTCTGGGGATAATTCGATACTTCTCGAAAGCCACACGGTTCTCCTGTGCCAGGTTGAAGGATCTGCAAGGTACTCCACAAGCGCAAGAGCCAAGGTGGTCCAATGTTGCAAGATCTTACAAGTCATTGCCAGTTCTAGGAAGTTCAATGTCCACTCATTGATCCTTCAATGTCCACTCATCTGTAGCACCACCCAAATAGTAGCCAAAACCGCCACTTTCCATGACTTCGCGGGCAACCCGCCTAAGCTGCAATGCCAAATCAAACATCACATGGAGTGTCTACAAATGAGCTCGCAAGCCGCTTACCCTGTGCTGGGGCACATTTTTTGAGATTGTCTGCAATGACAATTTTTTTCTGTAGTGTATCATACTGTATCTGTATATTGCTTTTTCACACAAACGAAAACGATTCAGAGCACACCTCAACTTGTCTGACCAAACCTGCCAAAAGAGTGGCCACGCTTCCAGTGAAGCCAAAGTAAGCCAAGAAGCTCAAAGTCGTCTAGATTCATGCATTTTTCTAGCAAGCGCCCACTTTTGCTTGCAGGTCCCTGAGCTGAAACCGATCAAAATCCGAAGCTTGAAATCACCAACTCTGAACACAGCCTCAGATATTTGAAGATATGGGTGCCATATCTCTGTAGATTAAGAAAAATGGTTGCGAAATTGCTGCCAAGTGACCGTGACTTTGTCTGACATCATGCGGCTTGCAGCCTGGCTCTCTGTGGCATTCTTCGAAAAGTCACGCGCGATATCCATCCTAGCGTCAGAAGACACAAACGAAAAGCAGTCCAAGGAGCAAAAACTTACAGCAACGAGCGACACATCCCATGTTTTCCATCTTCCCTGTGTCAAACGCAGCAAGCTTCCCATGTTTTACCTGTCTGCGACTCGACTACAATTCCAGCGAAGGTTCGTTCGTGCGAAAGCACGTTGGTTCCGAATTTCGTGGTAGCCGCGCTGCAATGAGGAAGACACCTGTCAGCGGCCAGCCCTTTGGGTTTCTCTCTGCCTGGAATTAGACTCAATGATACTTACGTGAACTGTCGTAGTGCTGAATGTCAGGTTAGGCATACATGAAACCTCTGTGGCCTACAGATTTTGTTCCAAACATCTGCTAAAATCTCGCCGTCATTTGATAGCCATCAACCAACACCCAGATCTTGAAGCCCCGCCTCGCCCAAGCCAGCACTGGGCCTCAAGTTTCAGTAAGCTTCAGTAAGCTTCAGTGACTCGTGGAAGACATGTCCCGACTCTCCCGACTCGCCGACACCACGTGAGCTGTGCCCAGTGCTGAGACCGAGGCTTGAAGGTCTCTGAGTGCGTCCGGTGAAATGTGGGCTTCCCTGTCTCATTTACCTGTCGCCAGAAACAAACAAATTACATTTCAAATGGATACAAATGACATCAAATGACATCAAATGACATCAAATGACATCAAATGACATCAAATGACATCAAATGACATCAAATGACCCAAAAATCATTTTAAAAAGATAAAATACAAGAAATGTCAAAGAAATGTCAAAATCTGTTGGGTTTGGACAAATTGAGACCAGAGACCCACAGGACGGCCCCAGCCTTCTCTGCAGCTGCATGGGCAACCTCGACAGAACGAGTCAAGACTTGACGAAGTTATCGAAAAAATATCCAATTGACACGGCATCACTTGGGTTGTCTGAAAATAGGGTAGCCCAAAATTTCATGGTTCATCATTTTATACTATTAAAAGTACCATTTTTGGGCACCCCCTATTTTCAGACACATCTACTTTAAATTCGGAACATTTGATCATCTTTGATCTAACAAATCCCTGTCCCCCAGTCCAGCCTGTCCAGACAACAACTGGCCCTCTTTCATAAGTCGTGCTCCAGCTTCTGCTACGCAGTTTACCCCCAGCTCTGATGCACTTTCCAAATGGGTGTGCCTGAAGATCAGAGTACCTGCGAGATTGGTCTCTGATAAATCCTCTGGCTGTATCCACTTGCTTGTACTAAACTCCCGGGACTTGAAACTTCAAACACAGGCCTCTTTCAACTGAATGGGAGAAGAGCAAGGATGCGTGATTCAGCACCACTCCCTTTGCCAAGTGCTTCAAGTCGTACTCACCTGAAACAGATCTTTTGGAGAACCAGCGGCAAAATGTCCCAAACGTCCCAATGTACTTAAGACAGAACGAGAAGGTTCCAAGTTCCAAGGACTCCATTGTCCAAAAATCTAAAACTTGAGGCCGGGGGTGGATGACGAAAGCTAGCGGGGTAGGAGAAAGAAGGAAGGGAAGAGGTGAGTTGTGGAGGGACTGTCATCATCGTGTCGCGGCATTGTTCGTCCCAACGAGGATGCAACAATGATATATGATATATGATATATAACAATGATATATATGGGGGAGGGGGCAGGGGGGGGCCCTTTCGCGTGAAAAATCACGTGATGTCCTTGGGGAGCCCCGGAATACTTGCTAAAGCAAGAAGACTCTAGCGAGCTGACGCTACCTTTCGTGATAATGCCAACAATTGCCAATAATGATGAAATGTAAGTGAATAACGATGATGATGATGATGATGATGATGATGGTGATGATGATGACGATGACGAGGACGATGGCGAGGACGATGGCAATGATGATGATGATGATGAGGATCACGATGATGATGATGATGATGATGATGATGATGATGATGATGATGATGATGATGATGATGATGATGATGATGATGATGATGATAACGATGACGAGGACGATGGCGAGGACGATGGCAATGATGATGATGATGATGATGATGATGATGATGATGATGATGATGATGATGACGATGACGATGAGGATGAGGATGATGATGATGATGATGATGATGATGATGGTGATGATGATGATGATGACGACGATGACGAGGATGACGAGGACGATGACGATGACGAGGATGATGATGAGGATGATGATGATGATGATGATGATGATGATGCTGGTGGTGGTGGTGGTGGTGGGGGGGGTCCCCCCCTTTCGCGTGAAAAATCACGTGATGTCCTAAAGCAAGAAGACTCCAGCTAGCTGACGCTAGCTTTCGTGACAAAAACAATTTTGTTTCAATCGTTTTCAGACAATTTCTGCGGAGCGACATCCAACGGACGATCCCATGAGGCAGACGTTCCGGCTGATGTGAGCTCCCATCAGCCTGACAAAGACAGCACGGCCTGTGAATCGCACACGCAATCTGTTCCAAGTATCTAGTTACATCATGTTTCATCTGCAAAACCTAGAGCATTCGGTCGCAATAGCCATCAATAGAAAACAACAATCTAGGCGCTGGTTCCCCCCAAACAATCAAATTTCATCAAATTCATTGCCAACTTGTCAAGTGCTATGCTGCAAAGGCACCAGTACCAGGCCGATAGGAAGGTAGTACCGCACCTTGGAAGTGCAGTTTCTCTTTGCATCTCCCCGTCGCATTCAGCCAGTATGTGTGCGTGTGTGCGTGCAGAAACTCTGCAGTCAGGCAACAAGGTTTGCAGAAAAAGATGATCCGCGTCGAAAAGCACTGCTTCAAAAGCAATCCACACCACATAACGCAAACCAAAGAGGTGAATTTCTCCTTAGTGCCACTTGTGCTGTGCACCGGTCATGGCTTGTGTTTTTTCTGTGGCAAATGGTCCAGTTTGCAATGGTGTTAAGCAGTCCCAGTGCAGATGTTGTGATTTTCTTGATCATGGTCTTGATGATGATTATTACTAGTATTATCACTCATATGATGGCTATTGATATCACTGTTATTACCATTGAAATCTATATGAACCTCATTATTTTCATTATCCGCCGACCCCAGCGTGTAGCAGCGTAGCAAGGGAAGCGCGTTAGAGAAGCCACGGACTTAGGTTCGCGTTTCTTGGTTTTGGAGCGTTCTTGCGATCTTAAATTTGGAAGTGCTTTTGCTAGCTTTCTACCAAAGGCTGTCCATCAGGAACAGGTGCGGAGTAAGGCGCTGCGAATGGAGCCTTTTTCAGCCTTCAAGGTAGTCATCTAGCAGCTTAAAGGCGATGTTTGGCAGTCAGGTGGGCCGTGGGCATCCCGTCCTTCAGGTGGGTTGGGTAGTTTTGCATGGTAGATCTTGCATTTCTGCTATCCTTATCCCTCTTTCCTTTCAAAGTTTCCTTTCCAGAAGCGTCCAGAAATGATTTTTAGAGGGTAGATCTTGGATTTTTGCTTTTTCTCGTCAGATTTTGCTTTCAAAGTTTCCTGTCAAAAAGCACTAAGCATGAAGTTTGTATGGGTAGATATGGACGGGGTGGCAGGCCACCAAAAATACACACATGTTTTCCCAAGAAGTTTTGAAATAAATGATGTGTTTTCATTTCCCCAGGAAATATTCTATCTATAGTTTTGCGCACCTGTCCTGGCACAGCACTTGTGAAAATAAACTTTGGGTGGTAGATATTGGATTCCTGCTTCCTTTTCCTTTTAAAGTTTCCTTTTTGAAACCTAGAATAATGTTCTTTGGACGGCAAGATTTTGGATTCCTGATGTTCTCATCCCATTTTCCTTTCAAAGTGTCCCTTTCAAAAATATCGAAGAATAAACTTTGAATGGTAGATCTTGCATTTCTGCTATCCTTATCCCTCTTTCCTTTCAAAGTTTCCTTTCCAGAAGCGTCCAGAAATGATTTTTAGAGGGTAGATCTTGGATTTTTGCTTTTTCTCGTCAGATTTTGCTTTCAAAGTTTCCTGTCAAAAAGCACTAAGCATGAAGTTTGTATGGGTAGATATGGACGGGGTGGCAGGCCACCAAAAATACACACATGTTTTCCCAAGAAGTTTTGAAATAAATGATGTGTTTTCATTTCCCCAGGAAATATTCTATCTATAGTTTTGCGCACCTGTCCTGGCACAGCACTTGTGAAAATAAACTTTGGGTGGTAGATATTGGATTCCTGCTTCCTTTTCCTTTTAAAGTTTCCTTTTTGAAACCTAGAATAATGTTCTTTGGACGGCAAGATTTTGGATTCCTGATGTTCTCATCCCATTTTCCTTTCAAAGTGTCCCTTTCAAAAATATCGAAGAATAAACTTTGAATGGTAGATCTTGCATTTCTGCTATCCTTATCCCTCTTTCCTTTCAAAGTTTCCTTTCCAGAAGCGTCCAGAAAATGATTTTTAGAGGGTAGATCTTGGATTTTTGCTTTTTCTCGTCAGATTTTGCTTTCAAAGTTTCCTGTCAAAAAGCACTAAGATATGGACGGGGTGGCAGGCCACCAAAAATACACACATGTTTTCCCAAGAAGTTTTGAAATAAATGATTTGTTTTCATTTCCCCAGGAAATATTCTATCTATAGTTTTGCGCACCTGTCCTGGCACAGCACTTGTGAAAATAAACTTTGGGTGGTAGATATTGGATTCCTGCTTCCTTTTCCTTTTTAAAGTTTCCTTTTTGAAACCTAGAATAATGTTCTTTGGACGGCAAGATTTTGGATTCCTGATGTTCTCATCCCATTTTCCTTTCAAAGTGTCCCTTTCAAAAATATCGAAGAATAAACTTTGAATGGTAGATCTTGCATTTCTGCTATCCTGATCCCTCTTTCCTTTCAAAGTTTCCTTTCCAGAAGCGTCCAGAAATGATTTTTAGAGGGTAGATCTTGGATTTTTGCGTTTTCTCGTCAGATTTTGCTTTCAAAGTTTCCTTGTCGAAAAGCACAAAGAATGAACTTTGGATGGGTAGATGTGGAGGATGGGGCAGGGAGCACCCCAAATACACACATGTTTTCCCAAGAAGTTTTGAAATAAATGATTTGTTTTCATTTCCCCAGGAAATATTCTATCTATAGTTTTGCGCACCTGTCCTGGCACAGCACTTGTGAAAATAAACTTTGGGTGGTAGATATTGGATTCCTGCTTCCTTTTCCTTTTAAAGTTTCCTTTTTGAAACCTAGAATAATGTTCTTTGGACGGCAAGATTTTGGATTCCTGATGTTCTCATCCCATTTTCCTTTCAAAGTGTCCCTTTCAAAAATATCGAAGAATAAACTTTGAATGGTAGATCTTGCATTTCTGCTATCCTTATCCCTCTTTCCTTTCAAAGTTTCCTTTCCAGAAGCGTCCAGAAATGATTTTTAGAGGGTAGATCTTGGATTTTTGTTTTTTCTCGTCAGATTTTGCTTTCAAAGTTTCCTCTTCAAAACCTTCAAGAATGAACTTTGGATGGGAAGATCTAGGATCCTTTTCCCATTCTATTTTCCTTTCAAAGTTTGCCTTTCAAAATCTCCAGGAATACACATTGGATGGATAGATCTTGCATCTTGCTTTTCTAGTACTCTTGTCCTTTCAAAGTTTCCTTGTCGAAAAGCACAAAGAATGAACTTTGGATGGGTAGATGTGGACGGGGTGGCAGGCCACCAAAAATACACACGTTTTCTCCAAGATGTCTTGAAACAAGTCAGCTTGTTCATTTCCCCTGAAAATATTCTATCTATAGTTTTGCGCACCTGTCCTGGCACAGCACTTGTGCAAATGAATTTTGGATGGCAAGATTTTGGATTCCTGTTTTTTTTCATCCTATTTTCCTTTCAAAGTTTTGTTTTCAAAACCTCCAAGTCATTGTAGGTTACTTTTACTTTGAAGATTTTGGGGTGAATTTGGCATGCCTAGAACCAAATACACCAGCATAATAACAACTTTTTGTGGCCATTCCAAAGGCTCAAGCATGCGATCCGGAACCAAATCACAAGCTAAATGACTGCTTTTGTGATCATTCTAGAGGGTTTGTTTTTTTTTCCAATCAGTACCCGGATTTTTGAGCCATTTTGGGATTCTACCTAGGGACCTTTTTTTTGAAATTCCAGATGTTCTATCTACTTTAGGATGACTAGATAGATAGATAGATAGGTAGATAGGTAGATAGGTAGATAGGTAGATAGGTAGATAGGTAGATAGGTAGATAGGTAGATAGGTAGATAGGTAGGTAGATAGGTAGATAGGTAGATAGGTAGATAGGTAGATAGGTAGATAGGTAGATAGATAGATAGATAGATTAGTAGATAGCACTGCAATTTACACTGTTTTTGTGCCTTTGGCATGGAAAAAGTACTTCTTGCAACATGCTGAAAACTGCGTAAATACCATTGTTTTTGCTAGGCCGCTAGGCACTTACCAAAACACACTGTAAATACCACTTTTTTTGCGGCTACCGATGGCAAAACACATCGCAAATACTGGGGCACAAGAAACATCGGTATTTACGATGTTTTTTCTCCAAGGGTCTCAAAAAAAACGTGAAAACACAACCTTTTTGACGATTTTTGGTCACCACGAGACTGAGAAAAAACTGCAGAGGTAACAACAACAACAACAACAGCAGCAGCAACAACAGCAACAACAAACTACAAACAACCAACAACAACAACAACAACAACAAACAACCAACAACCAACAACCAACAACCACAACAACAACAACAACACCAACCACAACGACGACAACGACAACGACAAGGACAACAACAACAACAACGACGACAACAACGACAACAACGACAACAACAACACCAGCAACAACAACAAAAACAGAGCAAGCAGGTGACATTTTCGGCAACAACAGCAACCCTTGGGGCGTCGCCGGTGTGCGAAGCCCTACAAGTCTGATTGTCATCATTATCATTATCATTATCATCGTTATTGTCAATATTATCACTACTATCGTCATTATCATAATTCTTATCATTGTTATCAGTATTACAATCAGTATCATAATTATTCATTATCATTGTCATTACTATGATTATGATCATTATTATCATTGCTATCATTATTATCACTAGTATCATTATTATCATTATTATCATTATTATCATTATTGTCATCATTATCATCATGATCATCATTATCATCATTATCATCATTATCATTATTATCATTATTGTCGTTGTCATCATACTTCGTCATTGTTATCTTAATTATCAATGATATCATTGATATCGTTAGTATCATTGGTTTCATTATCATCATGAATATAAGAATCACTTGGATGAATCTGATGACTCTGATGATCTTGATGATGATTCTGATAACGGCGGTGCTTGTGGTGGTGATTATGGTGCTGGTGATGATGATGGTGATGGTAATGCTGGGGATAGTGGTTACAGAGTGACGGTGGCTACAGAAGGATGGCGATTGCAGAGTAACGGTCCTTACAGGGTGATGGTTATGGTGATGATACTGTTGATACTGTTGATACTGTTGATACTGACGATACTGATGCTGATGATGTTGTTGATGATGATGATGGTGATGATGGCGATGATGGTGGTGATGTTGAATGATGATGATGATGATGATGATGATGATGATGATGATGATGATGATACTGATACTGATACTGATAGTGATACTGATAGGTACTAGTTGTACAACTATTTGTACTACTGGTACTATAGGTACTAATGTGATATTTATCATGCTTATTTATGATGCTTATCATACCTATAATGCCTATCATACTTATCATGTCATACTGGTACTACTGGTATTACTGGTACTACTGGCACTACTGGTGTACCAGTACTGGTTGGTGCTACTCTTGCCAAAAAAGCTGATGATTGCTGATGATACGTCGCGGCTGAAGTACATTCTTGCAAAACGGATATCCGTCAAAGAACCTTTATCCCAATCCCCAGCTTGGATGGAGTAAAAGTCGGAAAATGGCATTTAAACACTATAAATATCTCTAAATACAACAGATTCAATGGCCAACGTTTGGAGGGGCCACAGTCTCAAATGTTCCTGCTCCAACTTCCTCAAGTATTCAGCTGGGAAGGGCAAGGCTCTTGTATGAAACCTGCATGCAATTGCCCACTTCAAGATCGGTATTAGCAGAATTTTGGACCTTGGAGGGCGTAGGATTTCATGCAGTTCAAAGAAACAAGCTTGTCACTTCCAACAATGCTCCAAGGATGGAATCCTTATGACTTTGACTTAGCGAAAGCTTTGAAAAGCCTACAGCTCATGAGACTTCCACCAAGATCGCCAAGCGACGTCATAACCGTCAGCAGGACCAAAGGCATGAAAGGCCAAGAACCAGTGGCTTGGGGCAGGATGAGTTGTGACTTGCTGACGATTAAGCCTGCGAGCAAGTATCCTGGCACGAATTCATCTGCGGAAACAAAAAAGAACTGAGAGTGCCTTTCTTGCTGCTTCAGTGTGGCATTCTGTTCTCAAAGATTTGTTGTTTCAGTGGGCTCCTGGAATATGGGCTCCCACCGTCATCAGAAGCTGCATCCAGACGAGCAGCACCTTCAAAAAAAGATGTTAAGTGGAAGAACTCCCAACTCTTCATTACACAAATGATTTTTCCACATGGCTCAGTGATGTTCAGTGAAACTCACCTTGCCTGAAAGCCCACGTAAGTCCAAAGTGTGACTTGAGGCGGCTGGAAAACACTCCTAAAAGCGCGAAGCACAATGAGACTATGGGACTTGAGGCCTTGAACCAACGGTACCGAACCTCACAGAACTTTACGACATCCGAGACATTCCGAGACATCCAATTACGTTTTAATAGTGTCAAGACATGTCAAGACAGAAGACCAGCCCAACAAATCTCCAACTCTGGCGGAGAAACGATCGCTTCATCATGATGTACGGCATGGCATCCGAATTGTCCCGCACTGCAACCATGTTTTCAGTGATCACCTTGCGACGAAAACCGTAGTTATGGAGCAATGAGTCTCTGCGAGGTCTCCCAGGTTTCTGCGGAGCATCCCAGCCTTGTTGGCCGGCACGCAGACACCGTCTCCAATGATGCTTGCCTCCGGAACACATTGATTCGAAGGCGGTCAATGACCAAAAAATATGTGTTTGAAAATGGGCACTTGGAGAAGCTGTCTAAATCTCATCAAGGTCAGTTAGCTATTGATCAAATTGAAGCCCCAAAACCACCAGGCTAGAATCCGGTCATTCCAGAGTTACAAGTTTACCGTCCAGCATACATAGGGAACAATTTCGACGTTGGAAAGCGTAGTACAACGCTTTTTCAGATAGGAGTACAAGCTTGCGGCAAGCTAAGAGCTTGGGCACCCCTGCACCGGATTCGAAAAACTAAACTTCTAAACTTGACCAAGATGATGGCCCTCCCGAACGTGTGCCTCACGAACTTCACAACCGGTCTGGAGGACCACAGTGTTTGCAACCTGAAAACGGTTGAAACGTTGAAATGTAGCACAGCCGAACACATAAATATACCGCAAGTGGCACAACTAACTATGAATCAACCAAACCCAATGCCAAATGTTTCCAGCTTCAGTCGAATATAATATAATATTATATGATATGATATGATATGATATTATATTATGTTACATTATATATTAAATAGTGTTACATTATATGTTATATTTTATATAGTATATTTTATATATTATATATTATGTATTATGCATTATATATTATATATTATATACTATATATTTATTAAATATTATATATTAAAGATTATATATTATATATTATATATTATGTATTATGTATTATATACTAAATATTATATATTATATATAGTATATTGTATATTATATATTATATAGTATATATTAAATAGTTTATACTAAATATATTATAATATACTAAATATTATATATTATATATTAAATACTATATATCATATATTATATATTATATATGAAATATCATATATTTAATATTTTATGTGTTTGTATTTTATATTTTACATTTTATATTGATTATAATATATTATACAATATTATGTTATATTATATTATATTATGGTATATTATATTATTTGATATTATTTGATATTAAATTATATCATATCATATCATATTATATTATATTATATTATATATATTAAATTATATTATGTTATATTATATTATAATATATTATATTATATTATAGTATATTATATTATATTGTATTATATTATTTATATATATACATATGTATACATATATACATATATACATATGTATATTATGTATGATTATATACATATGTATATACGTATGTATCCAATATCTATTTCAGTTCACTGCATCGCCGGGGCACAATTGATTCGTTCTTCAGGATGATGGGGTTGCACAAAGCGTGATCCAAGGTGGAGGTGAGCAACGCGACGTTTCCTCAGAGCTGTGCAGCGGCGTTTCCACTTTTCCTCCGCTACACTGACGCTCCAGCTACGCTTCCTCCGGTATCTGAAGCTGATAAAAACTCCATCTCCAAGTTCTAGTTGTACCTTTCGATACCTTCCATAGCTTTCCACGTGCAAAGACCTGGCATTGCTGGATAAAATCTATTCACCTCACCCTTGTAATCTTTTCCGAGCAACCTGCTACGATGACGTTGTTCCCAATCTCCACAAGCTCAGGATCCCTAATGAAAGGCGCACAGAAGTATGCCTGACATGAACGGCAGGGTGGATGACTTGAACGGCAATGGATCACCTGGCATCGTCTTCCGTTTTCGCATCACATGGCTAGGCTCAAGAATTGCCAAGTTACCCGATCACCAATTTTGCATCCCAAAAGTCGGAACTGCCACTTCGTCACATGACTCATCACCTTGGATCAAGGCGAGTGATCATAAACTTCTTACTTCCTTCACTTCTTTTCGAGGCAAGACAGTCAAAAAGTGTTCAAAAAGCGTTCAAAAGTTTGAGTCTGGGCACTGTGTACTGGGTGGCAATTCGAAAGAGCGGACCTGAGTTGAACAGAGCGATGCTTGAAGCCATGGTTAAAGCACTGGAGATCAAAAAATAAGAACACACAAGAAAGTTGCAAGATAATGCAAGTCAGCCTTTCGAACACATTTAATGTTGTGCTCAATGGCACCAAGCCGGACCAAGCCACAGTCAATGAGGACCACATAGAGCCAGCTCTTCCAAGTTCGGCTGCGTTTCTCTTGCCCACTGTGGGCATATCCAACGATGAGGTGCCTTGGCCATTGGATGAATCGTCATCTCTGAGGCGTTCTGTAGTGTGTTGATGTCTGTGTTGATGTCGGTGCTGATGTTGATGTTTGTCATCAGCCACAACATCAGTTTCCCCTCGCGACAGTTGCGCGAATCTATGTGGCAAATCTAACTTGAAAACAATATGCCCTTGAAGCTCATTGAAATTTGCACTTCTGGAATACTATGGACTGCACTTGCATCTTCCAGCTGTGGCATTATGCAGCAAGAATGGGTTTGAGATTGACATGACACATGATTGGTTCATCTATTTTACCAATTTTACCCTCACCAATTTATCTATTTGATGCCAGTGATGCAGACCCGAGATCGAGGACGCAGTTTTTCTGCCTGCAAAAAGCTTTACAAACGGTCTAAGTCCCTCCACAGCCGCCCCCGGCAGCCACCCTGAAACCGGCAGTTGGTTTTTCGGAGATCGTCACTCCAACAGAGTGGCATGTCCCCGGGAATCCCATCAAGTTAATTATACTAGTACATCTAGAAACGGGGAAAACCCAAAATTGAGACTTTGATAGCAAGAATAATTTCAAACATGTGTAAACTGCGTGAACCATGTGACCTGAAGGCTACAAGTAGTAAACTAGTTTCAGACAAAGCAATCGAGACTGCGGCTCCCCAAAGTCTCCCAAGCCAAGTTGCTTTGCCAGAACCACACACAAGAAGTATGTATGTGGGATCAACAAGAAAACAACCTCAGCTTAGCAGTTTTCATGGCCTGAGCTCTCACTGCCTCTATTGCCCTTGACCACTGGTGTGGTGAAATGATATGCAGTTTTGCAGCAGCTACGTTCAGAAGAGCTCTCTCAACATCTACTCAAACTGCAGCGTCACAACATGCTACGTTGAAAGAACATCTCACAGCTTCTTCGAGGTGCCAAAGGCAGTGTCGTCCACCACACGAAATCCAACTCCGTATCTTCCGCCGTACGTGCCGGAATAGGCACACCAGTTGCACCTCCCACGTGCAAACAATTTGCGCAAGTTCTAATCACAGCCCTAAACTCTAAACACCAAACACGTGGGGATAGCCTCCATGAATGGATCAGCAGCTGCAATCACTGCAAAGTCAAGGGAGTTGAGCCAGAAGCAGACCGAAAAGACCTTTAACAGCACTGCTAGCACTGCATTAATTTACCTCATACCACTTCCATCCCATCCTGCTATCACCTTCGGCACAGCTCAGTCGAGTGCCCGCCTTCTGTAAGTACCGCTGGCAGCCTCAACCATCAGGATTTTAAGGGATTAAATGATCAAAGTATATGGTTTGTCCAACCCGGGTATATCTGTATACCCCAAAATTGCCATAAATCATGGTTTTTGCCAGTGGATTTCTGTCCTAGTTTCACAGCAGCCCTGAGTTCTCAAAGCGCAGCATCGAAAAATGGCAGGGACATCGAGCCAAGTTGGGCCAAGGGACATCAACGGGATGATATGAGAACCTTGAGAAGGTATATAGTACATGATGATCGCACCCACCGCCACAGAGACACCCACCATGAGGCCAGCCAGGTAGAACCTGAAAACAATCACACGGAGTCTAGGATCTTGCGACCAAGCTGACACCCGTGACACTCGTGCATCTCATATTCCAAGAGAATTAAACAGTTTTAAAGGCACCTTCCGAATATAGATCTATATATATTAAATATATATATATGAATATATTAATACATTAATATATTAATACATTAATATATTAATAGATTAATATATTTGTATGCTAATATAGTAATATGTTAATATATTAATATCAAGATATATATATATATATTCATATATGTATGTGATACAGCCCTCCCTGGTTCCCCCAATGGGTATGGGTCTACAGGTCCAGGGGGGATATAAGGGTATATAGCGGTAAGGGTCATCCCTGCCCCCTGTAACCTACTTTTGGGGACGTGTCTACACAATGCATTACAGTTTGCATCACATGTGACATGTTCACTCTAATTCATACGTGTACCACTGCGCCACTCCGTGGCTCAAGACTTGCTAGCATAGCTATAGAAAGAGTGCTGCGTGCCGCCGGTTGACCACAAGCGTTACAACTCTTTAGTTGGGATCTAGGGCCCCCTGAATACCGGGGATTGCTACCTCAAAGTGGTAGCGAAGCTCTGTGCCCTGCCAAGATCCGATATTCGGACAACCTGCACCGATATACGGACTTGCACGGGCAACTTCTGGGTCAACTCCGAGTAGCTGCCATGGTCTTAATCCATAACATGGACCCAGACGAAGAACAGCTCAAATCCGAACATATGAAGAGCCTGAAGCCTACGCCGTTAGTACCGTCGATTCACTCCTAAGGTACCTCCACAGCTTGATGGCCGATCCAGCTGTTTTGAATATGAAGGGAGACTTGCATGTGATGAAATCATTGCCAAAATTCGAAGAGGTAAAAAGGTAGGATATACATATTTCCAGTCCTTCCTCAAGAACAGCATCGAGGACTATCCCTTTGCCGAGTTCATTTACGAGCCTTCCGATGACCGGAGAGTTCCGACCCTTAAGGAACATTACATCGACTCCCAAGATCAGCCATCACCACTTCCAATTTGGAGACCACCACTTATGTTGGATTGTCAATACGATGATCTTTCGGACGATGAATGTTTTGGCCTTCTTGAAATCTATGTCTGTCTTATTGAGCAAGGGTGTTATCAAGACCGGCAAGATCCGAACTACGGACAATGCCTCTGAAAGTCAAAAAGACATTTATCATTTGGCGCTTTTGACACTCAACCTTGGAGCCATCAATAGACAGCCGTTAATCGGCGGAACCAAAAAGTTCCCATCTTGGATTCGTAGAGACCCTTCTTGCGTTGTGCCTTCCTCACCTGACCTTCAAGAATGGCGCTCATATTGTCGCATTGTGTGCAGCCAGTGACGCAAGGGACAATGCCATGCGTGGTATGGTGGTAGACGCCGAAATTACGGCTCCATCACTTGCCTTTTTTCTCCGAGGAACACATGAAGTTGGAAGTTTCATTGAACTCCTCTGCCAGCACCAGCGCGAACTGAAAACAAGAAGCAGAAGAACAAATTCTGGATTCTTCACGGCTATATTTTCAGATTGGCAGTTGGAAGAGTCACCTCTGGTGAAATGGTAGACCCAAGCTCCGGTATACGGACAACATTGCCAACTTCCATTACTCCTAACATGGAAGCCAGTGTTAAGCCGCATCCGGCTCCACTTGCCACAACTCAAGCTGATGAGGAAACAACATTTCTGAGATTGATGGCCGATGTGATGTCGAGTCATGTCTTCTGCTTAAGCCGACAACCGGTGCAGACAATCATGACGTTCATCGAGTAGGACTCGCTGAGACTCGTTGCGCGGTGTTCCATATCTCATCCTATGCATGGTCCAACGCATACACCGAGCTTTGCGAACGCTGGGTTCAGTTCCTCGCCCCTTGCATCTCGCACCAAGTAGACTTTCTGCAAGGCGATGGAAATCTGTTCACTCAGCGAAACTTTAAAAAGGATGACCATTCCAATTTCCGGAGCTGCATACTAGTGGATCTTTGAGAGCGATTCCTAAGCCAAATCAACATGCACAGATCCGCCTTAAATAGAATCACTTTCAATATTGTCTCATCAACATAGGCGGGAGAGTACATCAAAGCCCAGCAGGGCGACCCCGACGCCGACTGCGACTCCATGATCCTTATTAGCATGTGCTACGGCAAGCAAACCATGATTCTCGAGGAGCGTTGTCAGCAAAAATCCGCTAGCGCGAATATCTGGGTTGGCTCAGCATTCGATACTGAAACTATTTTGAAATGACATAGCGCCTGCTAGTATATGACCTCGGTCTCGGTGACACTGGCCAGGCAATTCATTCACCGCTGATGACTACCGCGAACATCCGAGCCATCAAGAACATGCGCATCCTCTTGCAAGCAGCCAAATCACGGCGACGAGGTGGATGGCAGGAAAAGAATGCTGAATTTTTGCAGGCTCGCCAAGATCGCCAGGAAGTCCTCAATGCCATAGCACGATAGGCAACTTGAGCATGACCATTTTCAAAGGGATACCAACCAGACTTGTGTTCAACTGATTCCAAAACCTTCAACAAGGTTTCATCAACAACAGGAGTCCATGCACAATCTTCAACCTTCTTCTCCTTGAACTCGCTCCTCTGTTTCCATGTTTTTGTTTTGTTGATAGCAAGCTGAAAACCATCTTTCTTCAACCAAAAGAGACTTATAAACTTCCTCAGCAGTGTCGGAGGATTCATCATGCGTTTCCTTACTCTCTCATGAGCCTACGCCATAGTATGACACAGGTACTGGCTCTGTTGCCTCAGGGTCAGCAAAGCTAAGCTGTTTGGCTCCTTAAAAGCACCATCATAGCACACATATGTGCACCTGTCCGCTCTTGTTGGTTGAATGCCAAGCGAAATTAGAAATTTGTCTAAGCGGTTCCACCATCTCCTTGGTGCGCCCGCAAGTCCATAGACGGAACGAGTGCATAAACCAACCAAGTAAGGAGGCAAACCAATGTCAGCAGGCAACTGAACATGGATAACGTGTCGGTCTAAGTCGTACGTTTCCCCCTGAAGGAAGGCAGTTTTCAAGGCTAAATGGAGTAAATCCCAGTACATCGAGGCTGCATGCTGAGATGCCACACGGAAACCATACCTGCTAGCAGTAGGACTGTCAGTCTGTAAGTCATACTTTTGAGCATCTTGAAAGCCTCTACATACCCATCTAGCCTTGAACTTCTTGAACTGTCCATCCTTATCAACTTTGATGGTAAGCACACATCTGCCAGTGACATAGTTATCAATCTTATGACGTCTCTTGTCACGAAAGGTCATGGCAGTGAAACCAAGAAAGCTTCTGAATTCTTCAAGCTTGGCTTGTTTGATCTCCTTAGCATACTTCCTCAAGACTTCTCTAGTGAGAACTGATTCTGCCTTTGGCTGCTTCTTTCCATTCTTGGCCAGATACTGTTCAAATTGAGTGAAACCAGTAACATCATATGAACCAAAATCAGGAGCAGCTTGGATCTTAGGTCCTAAAGGAACAAAAACAGTACCATCAATGCCGACAAAATGAGATCGGTCTGATGTGTAAGGTTCAGTGCCCACATCTTCTTCCTGAAGCTGAGCCATCTCTTCCTCAGTCAAAACAGGAGTATCATCTGTTTCATACGGTTCTGTTTCATCATCATCGTTTTGAGATGATACCAATTCTGGTGTTCCTTGTGACGACTGCTGTTGCACTGGCTGTGCACAAACGATGTTGGAGTAGTAGCAGGCAATGGAATTGAGTGATCATTTGAACTTGAGGCACTAGGATCATGTGAAGGTCCTTCATCTCCTTCATCATCACGTTTCTGAGAAGGAACTGAAGTCTGTTTGGCATGACCTGGTAATTGAACCTTTGGCCTCTTGATAATCACCTTGGCCTTTGCCTTTGGTAAAGCATCAGTAGAATCAGTTGAGATCTGTCTCTGTTTCCTTTGAACTCTGATTGGCTCAGACGTTGGATCGGGTCCTGGTGAAGGATCGTCATCTTGTCCAGGATCAGCAATCTCTTCGATTGGAACGTCAGGATTGGAAAACGAAGTTGATGGTGAACTTGGTTGATGTGTTTCCCCCGAGTCCTGAATTCCTGGCATATCCAAGTCATCATCAGGTGGCGGCCCATAGTCATCTGGAATGATGTACTCTTGACCATCATCATCATCATCATCATCATTATCATCTAGATCTGGTCCAGTATTGTAATCAGGTTGATTATCATCATCCAGAGGATCTTCTGGTTCATCACCACTCAACATGTCATCATCATTATTTGGTGGAACATCACCATGCTGATCTGGATGTATTGGATCATCGTCATTTGGTGGTGTGTTTGCTTGAGTAGGAGGATCAACAACTCTCCTTTTGATAGCACCAGTCATCTCATGTGAAAAGACGATCATGCTCCAATCATGAATATGGAACTGTTCATGATGTGGATACAACTGTGACACAAACATGAAGTAAACATGATCATAGTCACCAGGTTTCCAAATGAGTAAGACAGCATCTTCAGGATGTTGGAACAAAGGATTGACACGTCCAAAGGTTCCTCTGAACACGCTGCAGTCTTCAAAGTACATTTGAGGCATTGTCTTTTTCCTGATATCTTGAAGTCCAGGAATCAATTCAATGATTCTGGGATCAGTTGATTCTCTGACACTAGCCTCTGTACTCCTCGGCAACTGGTCAATCTTTCTCTTTGTTTGGATAGGTAACTGAGTGGTAAACCTCTGTGGAAGTATGTGCTTCAATGGCACTGGAATAGGGGTCTCAACATGATGCAAGTCTTGCAACAGACATGAACACTCAGCACCACGATCCAAAAACATAGATGTGCCACACAGTGCTCCATCATCGTAATGATCCAACAGATCTTCAAACAGAAAGTTCTGTCTCATGTCCTTCCATGGAACAAGTTGCGTGAAGTGTGCAATGAATGAACACAAGCGTGATGGTAAAACCTTCCACTGTGGATCTGT